CGTTATTTATAAAGGTCAAATATAATAAATTAATAACGATTATTATTTTTTTAACTGCTTTAAATATTATAATTAATATATATTTTCGTAAATTTTTTAAATTTTTATTTAATTTTATTTATAACCGCTTTTGCTTTTTATTTAAAATATATAAAAAAAAAAGCTATAAAAATTAACGCTATATTCCGATTATAAAAAAAGCAAAATTACTCGATTAATTTTATTATTTATGCTATTATTTAATATACGCGCTTTTATATAAAAACCTATATTATTTTCGAAAAATCTATCCTTCTAATTTTTTCCTAAATTTATTAATTTTTATAATTTAATCCGATTTTTTAAATCTTTTACGAAAACTTTATACGCTAAACGCGCCGTTTTTTATAATATTTTATAAATAATAATTACCTTTTAATTATAAATAAAACGCGAAAAACTAATACGACCAGCTTTAACCGATATTTTTATAGCTTTTTATAAATTCGGCTATAATTTAACGTTAAAAGCTTTTATTTAAAAAATTTAAAAAAACTAATATTACTAAAAGGTTAAAAATGCAAAAATGCATAATATTACGGTTATAAATAAATAGCTGGCGATTAATAAAATAATCCGCGACGGTAGGACCGAAGCGAATTAATAATAAAAAAAAAAGGTAAAAAAGCGGGGAAAAAAATAATAAAAGAATAAAAAATAAAAGAATAAAAAATAAAAAATACAAAAATAAATATAAATAACGCGTAATAAATCGCCTACGTAAGCCGCTAATTATTACGTATTATACCTTTAAACGACGCAAAAAAGCTTCGCAAATAATACGCTTTACCGCCCTAACCGTTTACCCTTTACGGTTAAAAGATTTTATTAAAAATATAACTATTAATATAACTTTTTAATATTTATATTATAAATAATTTTTCGTTTTATTTATAAATGCTAACGATTAATCGTAAATATTATAATATTATTTTTTGCTAAAAACTTCGATTTTTTTTTTAATTACTTATATTTTTATACGAATTTTAAGTATACCGTAACCTATTTATTTAAATATTTTTAAATATTTAATAAATTAATTACCGGGCCGTTATACTAAATAATATATTATTAATCGGAAAGCTATAAAGCGCTAAACGCTAATAAAAATATTAGCCTTTTTTATTATTTATACCGATATAATAATAATAAATTATTAAACGGTTATAAAAGACTTTTTATCGCTAAATATATTTTTTATGCTTTTCTTTTTCTTTTTTTATTTATTCCTATTTTTTGCTTTAGGCTAAATATTTGCTTTATATATAATTAAAGGACTTTTTTTATTTATTATTTTTTAATTTTTATAAATAAATATACGATTTAAATAATATAGCTAACGATTTTATTTCCGCTAAAGCTTTAGCTAACGGCGTTTAGGATAAAAAAGCTATTAATATTAAACGTAAATAGGCTTAGCTTTTCGTATATTATAAATATTAATTATAAAATATATATTTTTTTTAAATTTATTTTAGCATTTTTAAAATAAGTATAATTTATAATATCGTTAAATTATTAAACGGCTTATTTATTTAACGCCCCGGTTTTAGCGTTAATACCGGATATTTAACCGATAATAAAAAAAACGGTAATATTACCGTTTATGTTATTAATAGCTTAACCGATTTTAGCTTTTAATAAATCGGCAAAATTAAAATTACGCGGGTTAATAATTTATACTTTTTTAAAGCTACCGAATATATTTATTACGCAATTAGTTATTGCTAATATAAGCGCGTTCCTAAAAGCAAAAAAAAGGGTAAAAATAAAAAAAAAGTTAAAAAAAATATTAAAAAAAAAAGGATAATAAGGAAACTAATTAGGATACCGACTAAAATACCGATTAAAATACCGATAATAAGCTCTAAAATAGTAAACGCACTAAAAAATACCCTAAATTACTATATTCCCTTTAGGATAAAAACCTTTAATTCGTATATTTATTTTATTTTATTTATATTACCCTTAATTATTATATAATATTAAAAGCTTTATTTTAATATAAAATATATTTATTTATTTAATTCCCAGCTTTTTTTATAAATACTAGGATTTTTAAAAATATTTATAAATATAAATACTACTATATACGGTTTAATATTTATTAAAATTTAATTATAATCGCGCTTATTAATATTTTTATAAATATATAAATTAATATAAGGCATTTTATAATTATCGCCTTAAATAAAGGTTTAGCGGCGGCTATTATATCGCTTATATTATAATTATTATAATAAATAATAAATATAAATAACGCTAGAATTTTATCGTTTATATTTATATTATTATTATATATATTATAATAATTAATAGCTTTTGTCTTTTTTTACCGCCCTTTATCTTTAAGCCGCAGCAACCCCGGCGCCTTTATATAAAATCGGCTTTTATATCTTATCCAGTTTTACCAAATTCTTTTAGGTTTTATCTTATTATAATAGCAATCCTTATTAATACCAATTATGCCTTTTAATATATTAATTATAAATATAATTAAATTAAAACGGCAAGTTTTATATTGCTTTATAATTTTATTAAAGATTTTAAAATAAGGTGCAAAATATTAAAATAAAAGTTTTAGGGGCTTTATAATATTAACCTATGGTATTAAATATAACCTTATATTTACTATAATAGCAATTATTGCTAATGCTAATCGTTCTTTTTAATATATTAATTATAAACGTGGTTAAATTAAAACGGCAAATTTTATATTATTTTATAATTTTATTAAAGATCCTAAAATAGGGTGCAAAATATTAAAATAAAGGTCTTAAGCGTTTTATAATTAACCTAAAATACTAAATATATTTTTATATATAATATAAAAGAATTTATTTAATATATTAGCTATTTTTAAAATAATATTATTCTTTAAAGCGATATTTAGCTGTTATATTTTTTTACTTTAAAATAAAATCTTTAAAGCGCTAAAAACTCCTTTAATTATTAACCTATTAATAAATATAAAATAAATATAATGCTATAAAAATACCGTTATAATTAGCGTCGCCTTAACGGGATTATATGCGGTGCTATTTTTAATAGGAAATAAAACCTTAAAAAATACCGCGTCTAATATAATTAAAATAAAAATCGGCAATAAAGCGCTAGCGCCAATTTCCCAAATACCGCTTCGTTATTTAAAAACACAGCTCCGGTACCACCATAAATAGCCTTAAATATTATAATCCTTCCTAAAGCCGCCTTATTATTAGCCGCTAATAATATTATACTCCTAGGCATACCGTTTATTATATTCGCCGGCTTAGCATACGATAATTTTAAATATCGCGCGTTATTTTTAGCCTAATCCCTTTTATTATTATTTTTTTAAGCTTATTTACGCATATAAATTAAAATAATCCTAAAGCGAAATAATACTAATTTAAACGCAAACGCTTTAAAAAACCGATACCTAGCTATAAAATTAAATTATTAAAATCGGCTTATTAATAAAAAGCGATAAAATAGCTTTCGAATACTAAAAAATACTATTTTTAATTATAAATCCGTGCCTTAATAGCTTTATAAGGTTTCTCGTTTTCCGTTAGCAGCTGCGGCATATGCTTTACTTATTTAGCAAATTAAATAAACTTAAAAGCTAATAAAATCGCTATATACCTTAATTAAAGCAATATTTTAATAAATTAAATTATATATTTTTAATTTTTAATTTTATAATCCTATTTTTTATCCCGGGAAATGCCTTTTTCCTTATTTCGTTAAAAAAACCTAAACTAATAATATTTATAATAAAAATTAACCTCCACTAAACCAATTAATTTTATACTTTTACGCCCATATATAATATTATTTACCTTTTTTAAATATTTAAATATTTAAATTATACGACCGCGGCTACGAAAATAGCCGCGTAATATAAATAATAACCGTATAACGGCGTAAAGCTCGATAATTTTTTAAAATACGGCCCGTTTTAACGTATAAATAACTTTTATTTTTATTATAACCGATTTTATATTTTGCTTTTTTATATTATTTATAAGCCGGTCGCTATTAATAAATCGTAAACCAAATATTTCGACCGCGCGCGGTTTTTTTATATTTATAATTACCTTATCCCGGCCGCTTATAATAAATATAACCCTTTTTATTTAATATAATATATAATATTAATAATATACGAAAAATATTTAATTTAAATATAGCTTTATTATACGTTTAAAAGCTTCGAAAATTTATTACCGCCTTAGCGGCTACGGCTATATTTATTTTTTTTTTTAAAATATAAGCTTTTTATGCGTTCCGTTAGCGTAAAATAAGCGATTAATATACGCGTATATAATCGCGTTTTACTCGTACGAAAAAAAATAAATTATAAACCGGGCTTTATATATAGCTTATATTTATCGGATCGTATAAAAGGATTCGCAAAAATCGTCGATTTATAAATTTATATCGTTTATTATTATAAAAATCGCAATAATTAAAATAAGCTAGCTAAAATATACCGGATTATAACGCTATAAAAGCAATATATTAATATAAAAATAATATTAAGTTATAATGCTATATAATAAAAACTAAATTAGCTAAATTCGCCAAATTTTAAATAAGCTAACGTAAAAGGGTAAGGTTTACGACTATAATGCTTAAATATACGTATTTTATAACGTATGCTTAAGCATATAAAAAAATAAATATATATAATATATAATATTATAAAATACCTATTTATTAATTATATATATATTAAGTTATAATTTTATTTTAATATATTCCTTTTTACTTATTACCTATTATTATTTTGCCAAAAATCGACTTTAATATCCATTATTTATTATTAAAAATAATGCATTAATAAAACCTTACGAGACAGCTAAAAAAACAAAGTAAAATAGCGCAAAACCTACTTTAAACAGCATAAAACCTGCGTAAAACAATATTTTCGGAGTCGTTCTTTACCCAAAATAGCAGTCATCCCCATTTTTCTGTCAGATAAGGCTCATGTTTTCACTCAAGCCAATCAACTCCTTTCGGCAGCTTTCATAATCGGTATTCCGTGACCCGGAATGTAAAGCGCCCACTGTACAGACAGCGGCAGCCAAAAGAGGACATCTGTGGCCGAGAGCATCGAATGATTCATTGCCTTGATCACCGAGTAATGAGTAGACAAAGTGATCCAGACGATTACGATATTTGTTGAAGTATATCTCGGCATTTCCAGCTTCGACGACTCCTTTTGTGACAATGTCCAGATTCTGCTGGTGAGTGAATTGGGGGATATTTGTCGAAGGACCGATACAGGACCCGGGAGCATCTCCCACACCCCTATGCGGGTCGAGAATGATGTCCCAAGAATTTCCCTGTTGGCCAGGGCTATGTTGAACAGACCGATGTGTAGATGCCTCTTGGAGGTCATGGCCACGTGATTCCTGTTGCGAAGCCGTCTGATGCGGTGAGCTGGTTCTCGGAAGATGTATGTGAGCTGTGATCTTCTCGACGGCATCCTGGAGAGTCTGGAATTTCTTCTCCATAGAGTCCTTCCATCTGATAATGAATAAGCATTGCCGCAAGTCTGATTACCCTTCTTTGGGGGACCATGAGTACTGCACTGACAATGTATCATTCTCCAGGAGCATTTGCAAGCTACGATTGACTGTGCACGATAGTCCCCTCTTTTGACACCGCGAACATGGTGGTCCAGATGCGGACATGTGACATTTGATCTTTTGCTTTCGACACGAGACACATGCCGTAATCTTGCGACTGATGTCGGGAGGTCTCGTGTCGCCAAATGAATCTCGCAGGGCTCTTACGGGCGACGAAGAAACTTCAGCCGCCGCTGTCGCCGCCGCCATCGAATGTTCTGCCATGGCTCGGAGACAGCTGCGCTGATGGTTTGCCCCGCAGCACGCACAGCAGCAGCTCCAGTGCTCTTCAGCGCTCTTCAGTGTGTTGCGCACAACAACTCAGCCTCCTTCTCGTCTTTCTGTTTGCTTATTGCAAACAATTGATGTTCATCTCAATTTATGTGGTCGTTGATTGATTAGCCAATAGTATTCAATGATAAACTGCCATCATTAGAACAGCAGTTGGAAAACCATCAACCTTTGAATGTCATTGTAGCAAGCTCGGACTTCGTGCCGTAGCGGGTCGCAGGTTAGGGTCGTCAGTGAGTTTAGTGGTCTATATTCTCCACAGCTAGTGCTTTCTAGGCTTCGGCAGAAGTGGGGTCCAGGGTTAGGCAAGCTGCAGCTCTTCCGGCCTTCGTCCCGGAGCCCAAATCCTGGTAATAGGATTGTTATACTAAACACACATCTACGTAGTATGCGGGAGGGCCAAACTAAGCAGGCAACATGCAAATAATTGACCAATGAAACATTACTGAGAATCTTTCTGCTTTGAATAAAAGAAACAAGTATAATAATACATGTTATTACATTCTATAAGTACAAAAATATCACCAATATATCCACCCCAAAGACACCCGTACTTACGGGATCTGCAACCAACAATACTTATCCTCTATATACCAGAAGCTCTGTAGCTGACCGGCGGCCGTGATCCCTTGCCGAATCGCGGTTCGCCGTGCTCGTCTGTTGTCGATTGCTTGGAAAACCGTGGTGGAGCTCGCTCTATGCCCCGGTCTCGCTTCGCCATGTGCTCGCTGAATGACTGTCTCTGGTCTGATGGGGCCGTTGGCGAAACAGCAGGAGGACATGGGGACTTGGCCCGGCTTGATGATTGAGAATTAGAATGACGCACAGAAGGTGTCCTATGGAGAGACCTGTGTGGCCTAATGGTTTGCCGGGGTTCTTTTGTTTCCAATGAAGTCGCGCCGTCCTCTCTACAATCCTCTATATTCGCCGTCTGCGCAGTAGCAATTCTGTGAGCCGCTTCGGTCTTTTGTTCACGAAGTGAATCCGTGCCAGACGTCTTGTCCTGAATGATATCCACCTGGTTGTCTTTGAATGCTTTGATATGAGACAATGACAATCGCCTCCCCCGAGCATCTACGACCTGCGGGCTGTACTTGAGCGTATCGATAACTCTGTCAATGGGGCTCTTGATTGACTCTTCTCCGTCGAATGGATATGCGGCCGCGATACTTTCATCGTCCTGAATAAATGCAGGCTGGAGACACTTTGGATTGGGACTGGTGTTATGAAAAGACTGGCCCTGCTTTGAATATGACTTCATATACGCACCGAGCGACTCCTGTGATATTTTCAGAGGCTCGACCTTGACCGGATGGGTTTCATGTACAGTATAACGTACCTCTTGGGTCGTAAGAGAGAACGGGCCTAGTCCATGCATCTCTTGTTGTCTTGCCGTCTTGGCTCTTTGTTGAGTCTTCATCGCCCCATCAACTCTTTGTTGCGACAAGGACACCGCACCGGTCAATCGTGTTGTAGGTTTGAGGAGCTCTCCATCTTCCTCGTCGTCAAAATCCGAAACAACTGACAACAGGTCACAGCGGTTACAATCGGGATTACCGCAAGGGACTGTATGCTCATCTTCGTAGTCGTCGGCGCTTACCACTGTAAAGTTTCCAAGTGACGGCTCGGCCCGCAGGCTATGGTTCCAAGCGTCTACGTCGTCGTCATTGACGTGTATGGCTTTGATTGCCTTCTTTTCGATAACCTGATCGACGGATGCAACCTGCTTTTCCCCTTTCAATATGGACAACCGTCGTCGAGTCTCTTTGAAGCTCCTTGCAGACTCGGTCATCTTCCTCTTTGAGTCTTCAAGTCTGGGATTGGGAACAGAGCTCAACACTGATGCCTTTGCATAGTACTTGCGATCAAGTGGAAGCGACATTTTATAAATTTTACCAAGTTTTGTTTTATATTACAAGGTTCATCAATCAGCTTACTTACCAAGTGTTTCGCTTAAGCCTGTGTCTTATACACCCGCCGAACAATGATTTTGACAGCCATTGTGTAGACTGTGGGTTCATTGTTGCTTTATCGCGCTCCGTAAGGGCTCTGTCTTGTCTTGGTGAAAGCAAAGACATTTCTTTGTGGTCATGCAAATGGCTGTTTGGCAGCATGGCACAAATCGAGCGATGCCAAGTCGGTGAATAGTGCAACGAAAGGGTCTCAATATCACCTTGATGCCGAAGGACAGAAAACAATTTATCAATACATTATTTTATCAAGATGATGCATTTGCTTTTAGCAAGCATCAGTTCCAGCTTCTAATAAGAATCCTGGAGCCTCTAGTGCATGAGGCGAGCAGCCTTGGGGCTCTTGTAGAAGCCGCGTCTGCCATAGTTGCTTCTCTTGATGTATCCAGTGTAAGACGAGCCGTCAGTCCGAGCACCCTCGCCGCTGAAGACGCTACCAAGGCCAAAGTCGGGCTCTCCACCGAGGGAACCAAAGATGTCGCCAATGTAGTTGGTGGGCTCAATGCCAGCAGCAAAGGTGCAGTTCCAGCTGGTGAGGATGCCCTTGACGATCTCGATACCAGCCAGGTAGATGTTCTCCACAGCAGGAGTGAAACCGCCCTGATCATCAATCAGAAGGTGGTCGTAGGCAGTTCCGTCCAGTGGGGGGCGGTCAAAGTCCGAGGCTATCAACATCAGGTCAGTACTCTTGGATTCGCTTGCGCATGTTAGAAGAAAAGGTGAGTATCGGGCTTACCAGTACGGACGAGAATGGTGCGGGCGTAGTCAGCGAGACCAGCCAGGTCAGCACGCATGATGGACTGGAGCACAGCCGAGTCCTCCTGTGCAGTCATGCAATAGGTGTACTCAGTCTGGTTGGTCCAGACCTTGGTGGTGTTGTCGAAGGCCTCGGCAAGGATGTTTCCAGAGTAGTAAACGTCACTGGTGGCACTGTCGCACTTGACTACACCAGGGGCAGCCATGGCGGCAGCGTAGGCGTCGTCGTCGGTAGTGTATCTGGCACGGTATGTCTGGGCAGTTGTGCTGTCGTTCAGCGTAGCCTGAGAGGCGAAAGAAAAGGCCAGGTCGCGGAGGGCCTCGTTGAGCTCCATGACCTCAGTGCCGTAGGATTCCTGGGGGTATTCGCCAGGGAAGCCAGTGTCGTAGGCAATGTAGCCAGAGGGGAAACTGGAGTTGAGGTCACGGATATCGAACTCGTACTGCTGAGCAACCTGGACAGAGAACTTGGAGATGGCCACACTGCCAAGGGTAGCCAGCTTGGGGGAAACACCGGCGATTCCGTTCATGAGGATGTAAGTTGACGTAAAGTCAAACTTGGTCGAAAGCATAAGAGAAGAGATGGATGCGGCAGCATTGATCTCAGCCTCGCCAGCAGTGACCTGGCAAATCTCGCCCGAGGCAGTGCAGTGAACCTGAGGGTAGATGGGAGAAAGACCAGGAACAGAAATGTTTTGGGCAAACAAGTCTCCATAGCCACTGCTGGGCAGGTTGTCGTACCAGATATCAGCCTCGGGATAGAACTATAGGCACAAGTCAGGAATTGCTCTGGTAAAGGTTGTTAATGAGAAGGTGTCTTTTCTTCGTACCATGCTGATGATCAGAATCTTGGGAGCAATCTTCTGGGTAGTAGCACACTCATCGACAGCTCGCTTGTGCTGGGGCTGGGCTGGGTGTGCATAGGGCTGACGAGGCGCAACAGAGGCCAGAGCTTGACTGGCCACCAGCAGAGAGCTGGCAGCAATAGAAGTAGCCCGCATATTGAACGTCTTGGGAGATCACAAGAGATGTCTTTGGGTGACTCGTGAACCTGAAGCTGAAGCAAGAATGCTGACTTGCTTGCTCGGGGCTTCGGCTGGCAGAATGGTGCAAGAACAGCTACTATCTGCAGACAGACGAGAGACACTCCGGGGGATCTTCCTCCTAGGTCAGGCACGGGAAGAAGCAGAGCATATGTACGTCGTTCGGAAAGCTGCAGCAGCCCGGCTATCTGGATCTGTCATGCAATGTGACGGAGACTTACAATTTTTCTGGTCGAGCTAAAAGAAAGCTAGCCCCGAGATTCTGGAAACTATTTTATGGACCCTTCGGAATAGTGAATTACGAGGTGGATCGGGGCCGAGGTGGGAGGGAGGGAGGGAGTACGTAGGGTGAGTGAATTGGTGCGATGGAACTGATAACGGTCGCATCCGGGGTGTCTTAGACAATGACCACTTGACCTAGGTGGTATTCCATTCCTCATTGTGCGCGCCGTGCTGACAGAGGCTTGCGTGTTGGAGGCTTGTTGGAGGCGTGCGTACATTCACTCGCCAACAATAGACGACCATGGCATGCGGCGACTGCCGCCAACGACGACGAGATAACATAATCACTAGTAGCTGTACGAAACCGACAGCTTCGGAGGATTGCACGTAGCTGAGCTGTCCGAGAACATGACGTTGCTGTTCCTGGCATCGCGTACGCGTGTCCGACATCCATGGTGCTGAGTAGTAGTAGTTGATCCTGGATATCTTGGTGATAGTACCTTGCATGGAGTGAGATAAACCAAGCGGAGCCTCGAGTCCCTCCCTGCAAACGATGGATAGTAGATGGGACCCAGAAATTTTAGTGCTAGTGTACTGCATGATGATGGATAGCATTCATGGAAAGTCCCGTGCAAATTGGATTTTCCAGGCAAATAGTGAGATGATGCGGTAAATACTAATAACCTAGGACCTGCTGGGAGGATGAAGTCGAGCTTTCTGGCTGAATGCCTGGGGGGAGGGTTAGAAATGGTCCAACCAATCGAGTCGCCGAGATCTGTCATGTCATGATTGCACAGCAGATGGAACGAAACCGAGATCGATCTCCAAGCAAACCGGCGCGCGGGGCGAGCAGAGACAAGCTCGCCAAGCGCAGAGCCGCCGCAAGAACCGAGAGCTGCCAAGGTGCCAATGCCGCCTCCCGAACCCGGTAGTAGTGTAGGCCCATGACGGCGTTTTCCCCGAGGTTGCTTTGGTTTCCTACGATCCATACGACATCCAAGCCAAGCATCTGAGTATCAATGCTGTCCGAGTAGACAGACCAAAGGGGGAAAGGAGGGAGCTCTAGCCGATCAAAGCATTGCTGAACTCTGTAATTATAAGCCACGCTCCCAGGGTCTTTCAACTCTTATCAGTTGGGGGTCCGGGGGGGTTCAGCAGTCATTATACTGGCTTACCAGGCTCGCAAGGGCCTTGCTAGCCTCGCAAGCTTGAACCTTGGGGATAGAAAGAAATTTGCGAGGACAAAAAGAAAGAGCCGAGAGCTGAATTGCTATCACATTATTATTACATTAGCAGTTACTGCTGTCGATACGCAGGGTCCCGGGAAAAAAAGGGAAAATAAAATAAAAACGTCATGTCATTTTCTCTCGTTCGCCCTGTCGGTCGCGTGCCCAACGCACCAAAAAGCCGCGTCCAGCCCCACCACGGCAATCCTAGCGTCTCCAGTCGACTCCATTTAAGATTATGACAATCATCAATTAGCACAGCAAACAAACGGTGAATTGACCTTTTGCCCCCTTCAACGACCGAGCTGCTTCCTATGCTTGGTGCTGCCGACGACAAATCAGTGTCATTCTAATCAATTACTATTGGACGACGATGGATACTGTTGACTACCGAATTCTCCGTCTATTAGTCATTCTGTAGCTCAGCAAGACAAATTGTGGCTTTCATTTTTCACGTTCCGAGCTACGAGTTTGGTGGCCAGAAAGAAAGCTTCCATGTTTGAATATCGCCCAGGTGTAAGCACACCAACCATCCGTACCTATTTCAAACTTCCCGGCGTTGAGGTGCGCTCAGGTGCACTCGCCCACAAAAATGTAGGTACTGCACTGCACTGATGCGTGGACAGAAAGGTTGGGGGTGTCCAGCGGTTGTAAAAGAAAGAACAACATCAGTGTGGGCAACCGCCGCAAGTCACCGATGTTATGGTAGCAACGAAGTCAGCAGCACCGATAAGTAGGTAGCAATAATTATGCTTCCGTCAACAAACGCGGTAGGATCACTTTTTGGTTTGATACTGTTGATCCAACAGCCTCACTGCCAACGATTTAGGCTCAAAACATTGCTGTACACTGTACCAAATCGAGCTCCTCATATATAATGTCCTGTAATGCATAGGTACCCTACAGGAATCCGTTTGAAGCATGGCCCTTTGCTGTGTAACGTGCGATGCAGCTGTATGTCAGCAGCCTTTGGGTGGTCTATTTCCAATCCGTCACTTGAGGCCAACTCGAACGATACCATCGAGAGGTACATCAGCTACTGTACAACACATCCACGCAATGTACAAAAGTGCGTATTCAGCGCACAGGGCTCAGTCTTTCCCTCCCCTCCCTCGGAATCCGAGTTTATCCACTCGCGGGCGCGGCTTTCAGACAGCCGATTGATCTGCTGAACCAAAAGAAAATGATTCACCTTGGCGGCCCGGTCCCGTGGAAGCTACTGCCACTGCTTTGGGATGCTCGGAGTGGCTTGCGCCCAAATCCTATACCGGTGCATCGCCGCGCTATCACCGCGGGCCGTCTCTATTCTCCCATTCACGCATCAAGAACGCAGATATGATGCTTGTCAACAATCCCTAGGAGAAATTCCCCCTGCCGGCCGGGCAACAAGACACGCTATTTAACGTCTACTTGTATAAGCCTGCCGGTTCAAGCGAATGGGTGGTGCAAGGCTTGGAAACGCCAAGGTCCTGCGCCTGGATGCAATCTCAATTTCCCCTCTCTTGCCTTGTCGTCTGTCATGCCCTTGGATGGGTACAAGAGCAGGTATCTCCCAAGCCTTTTTCTCAAGGGATTCTTTTCCGTCCGTTGGTATTATTAAGGGGGGGCGAAGGGTCTTTGGAGGTTCACGATACAAGCCGCTCCCCAAGACGGCAAGAGCGGGCAGTTCATGTTGTCTTGAAGCCACCGCGGCACAATCGGCGTCCCGATGTCACGAATACAATTGCTGCACGTATTTTCCTGCGAGGTAATCGAGGTAATTTTGAATTCTCACCATCACAAACATATCATTGACATCAGGACTCCGTAGACGTGAAACTGGCTACGGTTCATTGCGCATCTTATCTTCGTAAAATAGCCAATGGATGACCACATGTTCCTCCGTCGACATCTATTAGCTTTGGCTCCCTCGCCTTGCTTTCAGTGTCCCTCGGCTTGAGAGTATATACCGAACAATTTGGGCGGAAATTGAACAAACCGGCAGAGATATACAACTGAAATCACTCCCAAAGCTTACAATAATAAGCAAAGCATATATGGGCACCAGCGAAAACATCAATACGCACCAGGACGACGTGACGAGCCTCATCTACTGTTCTGGATGCCCATATTTTCGTCGTCATAAACATAGGTATTATCATACGACCAGGCTCTAGCATTCACCGGAGAAGTCGCTCCGAAGTTGCTTCGCACATAATGACCACAATACGTGTCAAATCGATAGAATCAGTCACACTTCATTGCCACAACGGCCGTTACAATGAATTACCGCACGGGGCGGAATAGACGAGTGTATCATCAAAGTCCCATAACCCAAGCCAAAACATTATTGGCAGATTGGGATCACGCGACACCAACCTAAACTTCCATTTCTAGTTGTCAACCAAGGGAACCTCATGGTCCGATATAAATCACATCACTTCAACAGTTCTGAGCGATATGCCAAGCATCCTCACAAACCTCCTACACCTCCCGTATCTGCTTTCTTCTCCCGTTACGACAGAGTGAAGACGTGATCTTGTTGACCGTGTACGCGTGGCATTCAAACACAATCGACCCGGTTGCAATTCCGCTCATAAAGTTTGTCTTCTGGTATTCGGTCTCTCACCCTTTCCGAGCAATGACGGAATGTATGATAGTCCTGTTACAGAGAACTGACGTGGCGATGTGAGGAAAGCAAGACATGTGGACGGTTCTCAATGTTCAGTCATGGACTCTCGGCCACAAAATGTTTATAAAAGGAACCCTAGCAATCAATTTTCATGACTCGAGGCGTATAGACATTGACATTTTAGTCTCCATCTTCATCTAAACAATTACACGAACACAACCTTTCCTCGCAATGCTCAAGTCAATTTCCCTCTTCAGCCTTTTGGCCCTGCCATACGCAGGGGCAACAGCCTCGCCCGAGTTCTGGGTTGGCCCTGATGTGCCCGAGGAACCTACCGAGCTTTGGCTTGCGGAAGCCGGCCTACCCGAGGTGTTGAAGACTCGCGATGTTAGTCTGGAAGACCGCGATCTCGACAGTCGGGCTACCGTGAAGATTCCCGTCGTGGCCAACTTCAATGACCGACTCCCCCAGTCGCCATTGGGCACCTATAGAGGACTGGACTTTCAAATGGGTACGTTTCTCACATATTGTCTATTTTTCTCTATTGTTGTTTTCACTTTTTTTTTTCCTTAAACAAATACGTGTCTGCGATGATTGACACCCAGGTGAAAAGGAAACGTCAAGCTAGGAACAGGCTTCAATGGCCAAGTCACCAAGGGCATCATCCCGCGGACACCCCCAAACGCCCTGGGGTACGGCGTCGTGGTCAACCTGGGCGACCCCAGCCCCACCATCACCGTCGACTACGACGACTCCAACGCCATCAGCTTTGACCTGCACAACTTTTGGTTCGGGTGCGCCCTGGGCGCCATATCCTCGCTGGCCGTGCCCCCCATCACCTGCGTCGTCTTTGCCGGCGGCTACGACACCACTGGCCGCCGCGTAGCCCTCCAGCAGACCGCCTTTGTACCTGCCAATGCCTCGTCCGACACGGAGCCCATGATCCTGGCTACTCTCAATGACGACTTCAAGAACCTGGCCGATGTTATTTTTGTCACAAAATACAACACGGCAACGCAGCTGGGCGTAACCCTGATTGACAATGTCAACTTTACCGTTACTGCCAAGGTCTAAGGGATGTTCGAAAGAGGGGTTTTCATTTCAAAACGAAAATGGGGTGGGGGGCGTTAAGATAAAGGTCTCCCATCCAACTAGCATATTTTGTGTAAACTTCTTCCCAAGTAGGACTTGAGTTGTCGAGACATAGTTTGAGTCCTTTGTTTCAAATAGCTTCATACGATACATTGAATATTCCCTTGCTTCCGTCTCGTGAAATGAAATAAATGGTATGATTACTATTCTATTCCCGTTCGCGAGAGCTTTGGGTTGAGACTTCTGATCTATATTCAATACTTCTAAAACGCTGTCTTAGTCACTTGGTCTTCTCTCGTCTAGTATCCCAGAAAGCTCCTTTAACTTGACTGGCTTCGCCAAGCATAGATCTATTCCACTCGAGAAGGCTTCTTGTTGTGCACTTTCAGAGGCCAGTCCAGTCAAAGCGTAGATTTTGCAGCGGGCAAAGCCATTCTCCTTCTCGTGTGCACGGATTCGCCTGGAAGACTCGAAACCATCCATAACTGGCATCGAAATATCCATTAGAATACACTTGTACTGCCCAGCTCCCTTCTGAAATGCTTCCAGAGCTTCCTGGCCGTTGTTTGCGGTGTCGTATCTGTGTCCAAGCTTTCTCATATAGGCAATGAGAATTTTCATATTAATGGCGTTGTCTTCTACAAGCAAGTACCGTGCCTTGTGACTCTGCTTAAGACGGATCTCCAAGTTTTGGCTTTTGCCCTCCTCCCCAACTCCATGCTCGGTAGTGTTTGTATTTGGTGCAATCGCCGTTTGGTCGGGTTGCGGTGTCTCTGCATGCCGATCACGGTCAAGGTCGATTGGATCGCGCAGAGGTGAAATGGATTCTTCAACTACTTGTCTTTGTGTCTCAGCAGATGACCTGGGCCGCGAGGAATCGGCAGATGTATCGCTTGTCTCTGGGGCGGATCTTGTCGATTGCGCGAATAGAATGTCTCGTGGTTCTTCCATTGGCGAGTTTGCCGATTCCGAGTAGTTCATGTCCGAAGGAGCCTGAGTCGACATGGCAGTTTCTTGTAATTTGGTCCATTGTTTGAAGCATTGCAATAGTACTTTGGCAAGCTTGCGTGGTCCAACTCTAAGTGGCTGTTAGCGTAGGTCTTTACGAGTCGGAAACAAGATTTAGAAAGTACAAGGGAGGCATGCAAGACCATGTAAAGGGAGCGAGGCACGTACGGTTGTGAAATAAAATCCAGAACACCATTCCCAGCACGTATGCTATATTTTGGAGATGTCGCCATGCTCCGGGCCATGAGGGCATTGCGACAAATGATGACTGTAGGGGTTATATCACCCTCGCGTAGTTCCGTGATACCTGGTTCAATAAATCGCTCGCCACATAGGATCAGGTCAGGTATGAGCTTTGTTGCTTCATGCGGTTCAATAACACGCATGCGCAGCCAATCCTTGCAGACCTCCATGAGTGTAGATCTCTCACGAAGCAAACCGTCCTTGATGGTTGCCTTGAGTGACTGATCCGAAGCTGATGGATAGCCGACAATGCTAACGCGTAGTCCTTGCAATTCAGCAATGTCGGCAGCGAACTGTGCTTGTGCCTCATCATTCATAGCATCCTTTTCTGAAGGTGATGCGGTCTGTAGTGGCAGCTTGACCGTCATGGTACAACCTTCACTGGGCTTGCTTTTCGCATTGATGGATCCACGTAGAGAAGTAACGATATTCTTGACCAGGCTGAGACCAAGGCCTGCTCCTGCGCCCAGCGTATCTTCTTGGGTAAAGGGTTTGAACAGCTGATGCTGAAGGAATTCGTGGCCGATGCCACGCCCCGAATCAGTTACGGTGACAACAACAAGACGTCTTGAATTGGGCCGCGAGGTGCTTGGCGGCTCCTGTCTCAGATGTACCTCAACAAATCCTTGCTTTGTGAATCTGAGCGAATTCCCCAGTAAATTCATGAGAATTCTCCGTAGAGCTCCGGGCTGTGTGATGAATGTCCATGGTAGATTTGGGTCGATTGACAGAATGAGAATGACGCCGCCGAGAGGAACCTGAAACTCTGAGCCTTCCCCGGATCCTGATTTCATGATTTCAAGTGCTTCTAAGCCATCGTGCGCGCGAATAGCACGAGTCATCACATCCGTGGTCCCCGAATCCTCTGCCATGCGCCTTACGGACATGACCTGGAATGTGTGGCCCGCGAATATACTCTCAACCACCTGCTCAGCAACCGCAGCAATATTGACTTCAGACGTGGTAGTCATCATTCCAGTCTCGATGGACATGTTGACACCATCTGAAGTACCACGTCGTCGAGGTCCCTTGCCACTCTTGTTTTCCGCGGCCGAATGTTGCCTGAATTTATTAATCTTGGTCCAATCAAGAAGATGATCGATTGTGTCTACGAGCGTTCGACAGCAACTCTCCATGGAGTTGAGCACATCCTTCTGGAATATGTCGAGTTCAGTATCTTGCAAGAGCTCTGCACCTAGTACGACTCCGTGGAGAGGCGAACGCAGTTCGTGCGACAAAGATCCAAGGAGGTCGCTCTTGGATTTATCAGTGGATATTGCTCGTCTGCGATGAACCTCTGCCATGATGATACTGGAAAAAGCAGCAACGTAACTGAGTTCACCCTCAGTCGTAAAAGTGCGGCTTGCTGATTTTGTGTAGATAAAGCCACCCGCAAACCAACGATGTTTATGTGAGTCCCATACTGGAATGAATGCCACGCTCCTCGCGCCTGGAAAGAGCTGTGCTACCGAATCTGCAGCCCCAGTCTTCTTGAAAACGCCGCCACGTTTAGGTAGATTGGAACGAGATCTCCCACTTGTTCCTTGGTGCGCGAGGTGCAGAGATCCTCGCGCAGTGCCCGCACTCTCCTCGCTGGCTGACTCGCTGGAGGATACGGTACCATTCTCATCGAAATTGAATGTGTGACCTTGGGGATAATGTTTAATGAATTTGGCCAGTAACCTCTCGGTTATCGGAGAGCGACCTTGTAGCTGGGAAGTGCCATCTATGCTGGAATCAGAGGAATTTGAAAAGGCGAGCGCGCTGGCCGGTGTGTCGGCATCCTTGCGAGATGTCGAATTTTGTGAATCGTCACTACTCGAAGAGGAGGATCCATGACGGCCATCCCCACGTCGAACGCCTCCGCCAAAGGAAGAGATAGCAGCATCAAGGAAAAGTACGCCCTCAATTTCCATTGATTCCCTCAAAATATTGGCAGCTTTGGAGAACGTATGTTGTGCAAGAGCTAATTCAGAATCCATCTCATTATCCGTGGGAGATTGGTCTCTATCCGGCATCGAGATGGGCGAAACCAGCTCTGTCTCCTTGTCATCGATCGTTGCGTCCGAGTTTAACTTTCCAATTCCGAGCTGTTGCTTCTGAATGCCCTGTTGCTTCGCATTTAGGGCTCCTTCTGAGAGCTTGGCATCGTTGAGGAAGGACTCAACATTGGTGCCATCCTTCCAGCCCGATAGACTAGCCTCACCTTCGACGAAACTTCCAACCCCACGAACCATTCGATTGGCGCGGCGGTGGCCTTCCCTTGCTCTCACGGCACCGAGGTATTCCATAATAGTCCGCGATACATCCTGCATGAAGGATACATCTATTTCGTCGAGCTCAGCGTTGGCTTGATTGCCATACACAGTAAGGACGCCAATGTCGATGCCTCGCGGGGTCTGAATAGGAACAGCGGCGTAAAATGGATGAGGCCAGTGGTTGAAATAAGGATTCTCCTCAAGCCGTGGCAAGACGTCACCAACAATAAAGACGGATAAGTCCTGGGCGCCCTGGACAAGTGAGTCTCCAAGATGACGTGTCACAACCTGGCTACAAATTGACTGCGATCGAGGCACAGCTGTACCACAAAGCAGAAGGCCTCCACGGTCGGTCGACTTGGCACTCGGGGAAAGGGAGAGACGTGGTGTAGCTTCGGCGATGACATACTGCCAACGCTGATCGAACATAGAAATGGTGGCGCGCGCAGCACCCAAGCGCACAGCGATAAGCTCAGCAAGACCAGTAAGAACAGTGTCCTGAGAGGTGCGCAGTGAGGATGATTCTATGAGAGCAGCGTGTTTCTGATACTCTATTCCAACGAGCTGGGAGGCCGCATACCTATATAGACATGGTGTTGAGGGTCAGTGGGCAGGTGGTTGTAGGAATCGCCAGCAGGCATACGCACCTGAACATTTCCCTTGCGCGACCTACTTCAGAGATCGTCTTGGTAGCAGCCATGGCGGGCAAAGGTGGGAGCGCCGCCGCAGGGCGGGCAAGAGAGCAGGTGGACGGGAATCGCTTCACTGCGAATGGATGTGGCCAAACCTTCAAGGTTATGAGAGTAGGTAAGTGGTGTTCACAGGGTGCAGTGGTAACCCCCCGGCTCAGCTATCGGGGCTGCACAACATGCTGTGTGGACTTGGCTCTGATGTGGTCTCACTTTTTCACAACCGGCCGAGAAATGTGAACGGCATCAGGTCAGAGCAAGCAAACAATATCCAGTTTGATAATGCGAGGGATGATTCGGGCCTGTCTTGTGGATTACAATGAGGAAGGAAGGATGGGGTGTGGATGGATGCACAAAGTGTCGCGGATAATCAAGGTAATGTTGGTGGTGTGTAGGAAGTTAGGCAAGCCTCCACGGAGCAGCTGCCTCAGATGGGTGGTGGTGGCGAGTTTTTCATCTCACAATGGGATGAATAATGTAATCTAGGGGTATGGCAAGAAAGCTTGAACACGGGCAACATTGAACAACTCTGTGCTGCGAGAGCCGCTGACAGGCACCCTAAAGCTAGGGTTTGGTAGGTAGACGCGGTACGTACGGCACTTATCGATATAAGTAGATACACCCGACCCACGGTATGTGAATAAACAGTTGACGTGCTGGTACCTAGGGATGGTGGTAAACTACAGGTAGGTGCACTTTTTAGGTGTCGAGGGAACACAAGATGGGAATCATGGAAATCTCTGGCAAAATGCCATGCGGTACAAGGAAGGGGATTGCTGTGAAGCTCTGGGGGTCTGGACTCTTCTGTTGCCCCGTCTAGCTTTAGCTGCGCTAATCATGCAAAGATGCGCGCTACATTGTTGACCGACTCGAGCCGACCCTGTCTGCGCTCAAGGGACACACAAAATTTAGGCATTGAAGCGGGGCATTCCCAGCGTTGTAGGTTAGTCAACCTTGGGATAGGTAGCTCATTGATCACATCTATCAAAGAGGACATGTCTTCAGTTTTTTTATTTTCATTTTTCGGAATAAAAGAAAAACATGCCTGTATTTGATCAAGTTGTGAGTCTTTGTATCGAGACTTTTGCAGGCTCATTTCTCTCCGGGACGGCCTTGCACATTTCACCGCATGGCTTTGTCCATCCCCCGCTTTATATTCCAGCGTGTAGGTATAATACCAGGGAAGTAGTCACCAGAAAATGTCCCCATCTTTGATGATCGATTGTGTATTTCTTGGCTCGATTTCTGAAGCTTTCCATGAGCTGTAACCTTTAATTCGCCGTTCGAGAAATGAATCGCGTGCTCCCTTTCCCGATGCCTGCCCAAGCCAACCACCGAACGTAAGAAGAAGATGCAAACCAAGTATAGCAAAAGTATAATGATATTCCACCAAGGTGCGATGATCTGGAATTGTACCTGACCAGGCACATATGTAAGGTATGTGAATATATCTCGTAGGTAGGTGGTCTTGTAATGTCGATCCTTCAAGCAGCATGGTACCCAATCAATAGACAGAATGGTTGTGAAGGAGTGACTGCAAAGGGGGGTTGTAGGGTCCACATGGACTGGTTTCATTTTTAGTGCATACCAGCAGCTGTTCAGTATCTACTAAATAGTAGCAGGTGTTGGAAGGTGCGATTCTAGCAGCCAGAGAGGGGTATAAATTAGCTTCAGGCACTACTACAGAGGGAATCTTTCCTTTCCCATCATCAATACACCCACTCCTCCTCTTTCTTGGAATCTCTCTTTTTGTTCCTGTTCCAGTTCCACAGTTCTTCTGCAGGTAGGTAGTTATACAAAAGAAGGGCCAAAGCTTACATACCCGTATACATATTTCACTTTGAGAAGCATGGTTTACAACCTGCGGAGTTCAACAAACGTATCTATTTGACGAGCTGCCCTATTCAAGAATCCCTCGTATTCGTCGTGGACTCGATGCGCTACCGCTTGTAGCAAATTGCCTAACCTTAGGTACCTAGTACATACTACACGTTCCGTTTCCCACGTGGACCTACAAAATCCTTGATCAGATACCCCGATAGTCCAGTCGCTGGGTGCGAGCCGGTCAATCTTGAGCTTATCGGTGCCTAGATCTTGCCTATGCCAGCATTGGCAGTAACATAGGCTGGCACATCAGATACAGACATGGGGTCAACCAGATATGATTTGTACGAGGCAGCCTTGGAGAGCACCTGCGAGCTGGATAGGTCTGGCAAGGTTCCTGAAGAATAGGCCTTGTTCCACTCGCAAATGTAGCCCGTGTAGCTGGGACAGTTGCCGGCCTCGTCCACGGTGATGACATTGTAAATGTACCCGCCGGCAGTCAGGGCCGTGTTGGTGAAGGGTGTCGTTACAGACTGGTAATAGTTGCCCTCGAGCAGGCTATACGTGTTCTTGTCAATGTCAAAGGCGTGCCCGCCAACGTCCTCGAAGTAATTGTTGAAGCCGTGGAAGAAGATGGTTGACGCCGTCGTCGTGGTACCGTAATGCGGTGCCCGACCCGAAACATCGTGTAGGTAGTTGTACGCAAAAGTGTACTGGTCGTCCAGACCAACCAATAGGACCGTCCAGTAATGTTTGCCGTTGCAGCCTGACGACCAGCTCGTCACACCGTCAAACTCGTTATTAGAGATGGTCACTTTGCCGGCTTTTCCCCAGCCGCTGACAATCATCTGACGTCCAATGAGAGAAAACTGACGAACAGAAAATCAGTCTCGTTTTTCAACTTGCCTAGGTACTGGTACCCCCCCTCTCGTTCTTTCCATTCTTGGTCTTCTTACCTTGTTGTGGTCGATCCAAACTCGATCGGCGTCATCGAGTGTCAGAGCATCACCGCCCCAGACAAATTGGGGGTTCAAGCCAGTAATGTGAATATTCTGGATAATCACATTGCTGTTACCACCACGAACGCGCAACCCTTTCCCCTTGATCACTCCAGAAGAGCCCTTGCCCACAATACTCTTGTTGCTGCCAACATCAAGCGGAGTCAGCGCCGCCGTGTTATAAGTGCATGAGACCAGAGTTCCACCCGAGCACGAGTCCGAAATGGTCAACTGGCCGGCCGATGTACCACCACTGCAGGTTGTAGTGCTGCTGGAGCAGCATGTGCCCGTGGTCGTCCCCTCACTGCTCGTGTAGTCCCAGGTCCGATCGATAACGATGGTACGGGCTGTGCTGTCTGTAATCCAGGAAGTGAGTCTGAATGTCACGATCAGCTGCCATCTGCAAACATGAGGATCAAAATCGGTACGAACTGTGCAAGACTGGTCGGGGTTGCAGCTGCTGCGGAGCCGCCGCCAGTAACGCCCGTGGCAAACCCAAAGGCGGTGCCCGACACCTGTGCCTCGACTGGAACCAAAAGAGTCCATAGGAGCGCGCAAGCTTTTGCAACAGATCTCATTGTGGGATGTGTATAGAAACGGCTTCTTGATAAAATGACTTTGGTTTATGGCAACTGATACTCCCAACAGCAGTTTAACTGGGAAATATATATCCCATCTCAACGACTACGACAAGCCTTCCTTCTCGCGGAAATCGAATCCTCCGAGCAACACGGAATGCTATGTTTTCCATTTTTGGCAACGAGTTCGTTGAAGCTGTAGGTTTGTCTGCACTTGATGTTATTAAATAATCCGCCACTCTCCACGGCGAACAAGCCATTTACACACCCTCCCCATCTAGTCTCTCCAGAAAGATAATTGGATCCCCGATTCAGAATATCTCCTCAAATACAAGATCAACAATACTATGCATGTGGTTACTTAGGAGGGCGGAAGCTGAGGGAAACAATTGTCCCGGCGGTTAATTATTATCTAAGAATTATCCTCGACGACGACGAGCACTTGTCAGGGTAACTTCATCTTCACAATGAAAGCATGGCAAACTCGACAATATATAAGCAATGATTGCGACTCTGGCAGATCCGTAAAATTCAATGTGTTTGTGCTAAAAAGAAGCTTGCAAGACGAGTTTGTCAAGAAAAGACATCTTGAAGATTTTAAATTGGTCGCAAGAAAGATAAGAGAATTCGAAAACATCGGCGTATTGAGCTTGTAAAAACGCTTTTTTAAGTTTGATTTATTTTCATCATAACATATGATCGTACGGATAATTTTGCATAATACAATGCTTGAGCCTTGCTTGAGCAATAATTATCCGCCGCTTGATTTCAGTGTATACAAACAATGTCGGCTTGGTGTAGCATGTGCAATACCCATCCGAACTTCCCCTCACCATCTTAGGTATGCATATCACGATCCCTGATGGCCATGTGCTTTGCTGCCAGGATCATTGAACTCCAACCCAACCATTTGGGCCGAAACTTCGGTGGCGAGGCTCCGAATCACAATTTGAGAAGCACCAAGCCGATCCCGGTCCGACCAATGACATTCAAATTTACTTTACATAGAAAAGCGGCGCGATTGCGGTGGACAATATCAGTTGTGATGAAAACAGGTACTAGTTCGATTTGTTCGCTGTGAAAGTTATCACGGTTGCTAGCATTTACTTCCACCGACAATTTCTTGGAGAAATGCTGGCAATTCTACACATTCGTTCCACCGCGGGAAAGGGTTTATTTGCCCAGTCTATTCTAACAGCGCGTGCAAGTATTGTACACAAGTTGGACCGGTGCCCGGACTGTATAGCCTGAATCTTGTTGGCTTTCCAGACGCCAGACATTCGATAGTGCAGCAAGCACAGCCTGCACCGATTGGCTCTCTTAGATTCTACTAAGTAGAGCACCAAGAGTCTCCTTCGTGTCGTCACTTGTCTCCTTGACCAATTTTATAATATCCCTGAACTCGGTAATGCCCGCGTCTCCAATGCATTCATACATCCAACTCTCGCTAGTGGTGACAATGGCGCCTTCGTTGCGCAGTCGGTCTAGGGCAACCGGAATCTCCTCCTTGTTGCAGCTGCTGACGCCGTCGGCCAGGACGTAGACCTTGTGACCGTTGGCCAAAAGATCCAGCGTCGTCTGGGTCACGCAAATGTGACTCTCGATACCGACAATGACAACCTCGGACGGGGCAGAGGTCTTGAAGTGTTGGCTCAGTTCTGGGATCCACATGCTAAAGCACGTCTTGTCCACGTTGGCGACGGCCTTTCCCACCAATGGCTTCAGCTCTGATACTGTGTCGCCGAGCTTGGCTCTGCTCTGCGTCGTCACATAGACTGGAATTTGCAAGACTTCAGCAACGCGAAGCACTTTCTTGGAAGTCAAGACGCTGTCTCGTGTCAGTCCGGGACCTGCCGTCATTATATCGAGTAATGGGTCATATTTACATCTTGTCAAAGTTCCAGATAGCCTTGCGAAACTTGTCCTGATGGGATGAATGTCATGAGAAATAGTTTGGGATCACAATGGCTCGGGTTTCGAGTCTTTGGGGGAAGGGGAGCGGGGGGCGGCATGTATTTGTCTCGCATGCTCCCGAGACATGTCCCTGGGTGGCTTACTTACTTGCATGTCACAAACGCTGATGAGCGTGTGTCAGTAATCCAAAATGTACTACATCCGGCCATGACTTACAAGATAGCCGGCCTCTCTTCTCGGACAGTCAGCGTAGTGCAACGGTACTGGCCGATGTTCGATTTTGGACGGGATACTCACGAAGGCGGCGTTGCGGAGTGCCCTGTTTGTCGGCCATGGTGGAGAATAACCTCGGTCTCAGCAACGGGCGCAGATGTGTCCTTGGTACGGTCGACGCAGCGAAGATGAGCTCAGCCCGGATTCTTGTTACAAACATAGAGATTTCAACATATATATAAATGTCGTGTACACTGACCAGCAAATGGAGCAGCTACTGGAATTTGGATGGTCGCCGTTCTTCGGATCGGGGCGAGGTTGATGTCGCAGCTCGAGACCAGCTGGTTCTGGCTGGCTGGCGCGGGGCAAAGCGGGACGGGAATGCTGGGGAACGAGGGGTGGGGGGTTCATCGCCGATATCAGTTGCACATTCTAGATTTGTATGGGGGTCACGTCACCTCTACCAGAGCTATCTTACCCACCACCCACCCACCCATCATGACCTTTTTCTCTCCGCCGGCATTCAATCTTTAAGCTTGATTGCCTACAGGTACCTAGCCTAAGCTACATACCTTTAGCCACCTGTCAACATGCACGTCAGACTGGATCGTCAAACTTCTGCATGGTTCAAGAGCCTCCTTATGCATTGTGAATCAGGATGGGTGGAGTATACCTAGGTCCGCCAGTCATATTGTAAGTTGGCCCAAATCCACTACTAACGTGCCATGAACTTCTCTTTGAAGAACAACCGAGCCCCTCTTATTTTTCATGTCCTCCCTTGCATTGCAACATCCGAATTGCAGACTGCCGGGAGGGACTGTAATAGAACATGACTATGCTCGTGACTCATAATCTGTCCAAGAGCACGCTCAAGGACCTACAAAAGCTCCGACAACGCTAGCTGTGACTATTCTGAAGACAGACCGAGCAGCGGTGTTTCAGCGTTCCAGTCGCCATTTTGATCTTCAGGCGCCCAGAATCCCGACCAAGCGTCGGGGACGAGCGTTGAGACAAAATCCAGGTCGAGGAGATCTGCATCTTCATCGTTTGACTCTGTCTCATTCTGCACGAGGGGTGTCATCGGGCCGGGTTCTATCTCATGAGAAGTGGTCAGTCAAGTGCATCCAATCTTATGTGGACGAGAAATGTTGGGGGTACTGACCTGGCATGGCACGAAGGACAGCAGATATGTTTTTCAAGGTCGTCGCCAACCTTTGCAAAGGGTCTTGGCTGGGTCGACTTGTTTGCATGTCTTCATTGTTGCCTCTCTTGCGAAGGTGTATCAATCTCTCGAGCTCTTGTATCTGCTGGTCTGCCAGGTCAGGGAGTGCTAGTTCACGGCGAATTCGAGCAAGATCCCAGCCTGGAGCTTGCAAGGTAATGAGCTTGAGACAAGTGAGAAAATTATACATGAAGTCGACTGAAGAAATGCACGGAAATCCATGGCATTTCTTGCCCGATGGGTCGAATCGAAGTGAAAGGAATGCCTTCAGAGACGTGAACAACGACCACAGCACCTCCAAACGGTCTGTGCCCTGAAGCCCACCGAGCTCGACACTGACGTCTTGGAGGCCAACTTCGTATAGCAGAGTCTCGGCAGTATACAGATGCGACGCCAGGACGACTTTGGGACGGTTAGAACAGTGATGATGCCATGTAGTTCATTTTCAGGCTTACCGTTGTCTCTCAAATCTACTGGTATGTTTGTTTTGAAGCTCTCAATTTGCGACTGGAGACTTTTCACAACCATGACCATGGGTAGGAGGAAGAGCTGCGAGGTCGTGCTACTTGATAGGGTGAGGGAGATATTCTGCGCCAGTTGCTGAACTTTGACCATATATGCAACCAGCTTGTCGGTTGGGCACAGGGCCTTGTCCTCCAACACACGACAGAGTGAATCAAGATATGTGGTGTTCATGAATGCGTCCGTTCTCTTGCTCGTAGTGTAGAAGCTAATATTAGGTTAGTAAAGCTCTGTATGAAATTAATGATGTTGATCATACGAAGTGATGAGATAGTATGTGCCGGCAAATGCTCTCAATTTTTCTAGACACAAGGGACCGAGATCCGTCTCTAGTTCTCTCACTTGGCCCTCATGAATGCCTAAACTCAAGCAAAGCGAACGCGTCAAACCTAGCAGATTGGTAGCCTGGAAGCTTGTCAGACCCGCGTGATGCCTAGGGGATTCGTCAGCTCGAGGTCGAATAACACATTCGCGCATTGATTATGCAAAGGAAACTGCCTTACCACGCCACGAACAAGATCAAGCCCTGAAGTAGATCCAAGCTTTTCCTTGGCCGAGTCAATAGAGCTTCGCTGAATTCCTGCAATAGTTCCTTGCCGAGCACATGCTGGCGATGTCCGTCATTGGAGCAACACTGAAGCATGAGCGCCTTCCAAGTGAATGGGCGCTCCAGCCGAAGCGAAGCTGAGGTTGTATCCGATGGGATGATCACAAAGGGGAATATATGCATCTGAACCCTGCGATACCTGCTGAGCATTTTCTCAGCTTCTTCACCCTCGGGCCAAGACACCAAACCCTGAGTTTGAGGCGGGCTACTGGCACTGGAGGCTGGCGGAGAATGCTGCTGTCTTGTGCTATCCATAGCTGCGCCGTCATTGACCTTTTCGCCAGGAAACAAGAAATCAAACGAAGGCATGCGTGGCTTTTTTCTTTCACTGTCGATAGTTTCATTCAGGCGCTTTGGCGAGCCATTTGAAGCCTGCACTTGTGCCGTGAGATCGCTCAATTTTTGTTCTAGCTGCGCAACTCTTGTAGCTCTTTGCGCTCTCTTCGGTCTAGGCGGAGCCGGAGTTTGCTACTCAACAATAGATGTCAGTAATCGCTATTTCCAGATCGTAGCGAGCCGCTGTTAAGAGCAAAACCACACAAGCTTGAACGCAGCAAGGCTGTCCCTAAATCCTACTCTCAAGACATACCGATAGGGGAAGAGACAACAGCAATTACTGACCTGTGAACATGGCTTCTTTAAACGGTCACATCTTTGGGTATGGTCAGCTTCTGTGTTATGAGCAGTAATAACAAGTGTTGATGCAAGCATTTGAGAGTAAGAAACTCCCTTCGCATACGTGCTGTAAGTTGTGGTCTCTCAGGGTCACATTTCAACCCACTTTCAGACCATGCAGAGGCAATATTATGGGTTGGTCCAAGTTGATGCAAGGGGGAAAAAACGAGAAGAAAAACGGAATCTTGCGATCAAAATATTGTGGTCTGAACTTGCCTTTCACATTTTAAAGACGTTGTAGAAACCGACACGCATCTCGCTTTGGCTTTGGCACATGTTGTGCAAGCTCGAGGTCCCGTCTTTTTCAGTAGCTCAGCCATTTGGGGTAAATGCAAAGTTATACTCTGCTCTAAACACAACAAGCACTGGAAATGAACGCTCCAAAGATGCGATTCTCGCCGCCGGGGAATGAATGAAGTAGGAAAAGAATCATGTCCACGGTCCGAAGGAGATGATTTCCGCAAGGTAGTTGGTAATCGGTCTTGAGTGTAGCCCAAGAGGTACGGACATAATGCTACTAGACAAAAGTCTCCGGCTCCAACGGAGACGGACGGTGCAATTTCCCTCCGCCTCCGCCTCCGTCAGCTCATCCTTTTTCTGGGCCTTTATGAGACTGTCTATGCCGAAAAAAGACAAGCGCATTTTTGTCATAATTCATACCGGTTCCTCTTTGCATCGTGAGCATGTCTCCTTTCTCTCAAATCGCCGCATTCTGAATGCAGAAAAGCTAGCGTGGGCGTCTCAATTATCGCTTCCGAGGCAAATCGCCAATTCTCAATCTAATCAGTTTTGACGAAGCAGTCGCCAATCTTGACTCTTTGTGCAGCATACACGACAATTTGATCATATAGTACACTGAAATTGGCATGCGGAGAACTTTATTACGGATACCATCAATGGCGATCTATCCTAGGTAGTATACGCAGGAACGGCAAAGGAGGGGCCGAGAAGTCATACAGGAATGAACGAAAGAACGCAATGGAATAGGTTACCATCAAAAGCCCGTTGACTCGCGCCACGCCTGGAAAATGTCAAATCATAGCAAAACAACACCATTACATGCAATGCTCTCGAAGGCAAGAACTTCTTTTTCATCTCAGCTCTGCGGTTGGAAACTCCATGGGAACGTAGCAGCTTGGAGGAAGAGGCCAATTCCCCATATCAGGCTGCCAGCTCCGTCTGCATCGACGGAAAACGATGACAGCGAGTGCTTAGGCTGTAAGAAGAGCAAGGATGGCGACAAGCATCATGACGCATCCACCTGTGGCGACAGGAGGATTTGACGAGCCTTGACCATCACCGCCGCCCATGGGGCCGGCCATGCGCCTGGCACCAGCAGAAACTGGGCGACTGGGAATGGCAGCACCTGTATGGTTGGCCATGACGGTCTGGGTACTGTAGAGCGTGGTGCCAGCCGTGCCCGTCATGCTGGTGGTCATACCAGTGCCGTTCAAACCAACAGTGTGGAAGGTACCGTTGCTCGTGACGAATCTCGAGTAAGAACTGACATCAGAGACGTGGTGAGACATTTTGCTGCTGCTGGAGCTCGCGCCGGGTGTTGTGTGAGAGGTGACGTTCATCGAGCTCGTCGACAGAACATTGGTGGTCACAGTCATAGTCTTCTTGTGGCCAGGGTTAGTAAGAGTTACAGTAGTGTTGGGAGAAATCGAGATTTCAGGTACCGTAGATGATTGACCAGTCTCGCTTGCTGGGACTTCCTTTGCAGAGATAGCATCATTCGAAGTGATGGCAGTCACTGTCTGGACAACAGTGGCAGTGACAGTGACGGTAGGAGCAGGGGTGCAGCTATCCGTGACAGTGGTTGAAGACTTTACTCCTACAGTCATTGTAGATGTGCGAACCGTAGTCGAAACAATGGTAGTAGTACCAGAGGTAGTGGTGGGATCCCCAACAGGAGTGACCAAACCGTGGGCCGAGTGCTTGGTGCTGGTTGTCAACACACCAGTGGGGGTGGTGGTAGAGCCATAAGCATAAACAGTTTGAGTCAAAGTGATATGAACAATTTCAGTGTCGCTTGAGGTAGGTCTGGGGATTATTGTCGAAGACTCAACATCGGTGCAGGTATCAGTTGAGGTAGAAAAATCTGCACTGGGCGTAGTCGAGCCACTGGCGGGAGTAGGTGAAACACCTGTGGATGGCTGGCTAGTGGATGACAACTCGCTGGTGGAAGTTGTCATGGTAGCAGACACAGCATCATTACTTGAAAGGGGTTAGCTGCATAGTCAAGCAATGAATGGGGACATGCAGTATTTACCTGTAAAGAGTGGAGGCTTCGTACTCGGTGCATGAAGAATTTCCACCAACAGCAGTTGTGATCGTGACAAAGATGGTTCCAGAACGGATCATTGTAGAAGTCATGGTCAGATTTCCGCCAGAGCCAGAAGTCAAAGTGGCAGAGGGTCCAGAAACAGCAGCCACCGGAACAGTGCCATTAGTAGTGACTGGATATGGAGCAACAGTAACGAGAATGGTGTTCGTGATCAGAGAGTCCGTAGACCTGGTGACAGTTGAAACATATCCATTCGAGGTTGTGGTAGAAGCCGAGGCTCCTTTCTGAGTTGTGGACCCGGTGGTCAAGGATGCCGACGAGGCAGTCTCAGTGAGGTAAGTGGTAGAACCGACGGTCTGGGTAGAGGAGGTCACAGTCAGGTTGGTCTCACTAGTCATGGTACGAGTGATGGCAGACTGATGAGCAGATTGCAAAGACGAGACTGTGGTGAAGATGCCAGTCTCGGTCTCGGTACCAGTAATATACTGCGAATTAGTGATGGAGCTGTTCTCGACAGCAGTACCGGTAGCACTAAAGACGGTGGGATGAGCAGTGGACGTGGTGACATTGGAAAGGCTGTGACCACCATAGGTATAGAGCTGTCGCTTCTGAAGGCCGTCACCAGAATTGATGATGGTGCTGGTCGAGGAACTCTGAAGGTTGGCGCCAGTAACCAGGTCGGTCATCTTGTCCATAGAACCTACAACTGTGGTGAGTCTTGCTTTCAGGGGTTATTTTCGTATTGATATTTGAAAACTTACGCAAGTGGTCGCCGTAGCAAACACCAGCAACCAGACCGACACCAACAAGGATCACGACAAGGACAACGCAAAGAATGACAGAGAGGCGGCCACGCTCTATCTCACACGTTAGAGGGGTGCTCAACCAACTTTTCGAAGAATTTGAATGAAGTGAGACTTACTCATGCCCTTTGAGTTGCCATTGGCACTAGATCCAACGTCCATCTTGAGAGTCGAAGCGTCGCTGTCAACTTCGGAGCGATCGTCGCGGATGTTGGGTGGCATGGTGGTGCCGCGCTTGGCGAAGAATGCAGGCATTGCTAACCCTTTCCTGCCTGTTGAAACTATTGGGATGGGAAGCAATTCAGTATTGAACGAAAAATTAGTTGCGATTAAATTAATTCGCAACTGTACTGGATGTGCTGGGAAGTGAGTGACTGTGGGTGGGTTGTGGTGTTGGTTGTTGTTGATTGGACGGTGGGGGAGTTGCGCAGGAAGGTTGTAAGAGAAGTTGGACTTTGAGGCGTCCAGTCACGCGACGCGTCAATTTGGCTTGAAACGCGCAACGAAGCTTAGAAAATTGAAAAAGACTGCCGAGAATACTCACCGAAGAGAAAAACACCGACAGGTTCAAGGCGAACTACTCGTACTAGAATTGCAAGTGAATGTGTGAAAGCAGAAGCCAGAGGGAGGGGGTATGTTGGCAACTGCAGGGGAAAGGAAGGAAGGAATATCGGCAACTACTGGCGCAACTGCGCGAAAAGAAGAGAATGAATGATCAAGGTTGAATGCAAAGAGAGTGGTTGGAACAGAAGTGAGTGTTTGAGGGAATTGTACTGGGTGGTGTTGTTTTGTGTTGAGGTGGAAAAGCGCTGCTTGGCCACTACTTGTTTAGACTCAACAGAGCCTCAATTTTCGCAGTGTCCTCAGGCAAACGGAATCAGCTTCAAGCTCGGAAACGCGTCTGGACTTGACGCGTTTGCAAACGCCATTTATCTATTTATTTTCTATGAGAGTAAAACAGCGCGTCAAGAGTGCTTCACATCTCAGGTCCGCACCTAATGCTGCTCGGGATATTTTAGTATTCAATAGTATCGGCAGCACTGACATCTTTTCTTCTTCTTATAGCTGTACTTGCATTGAACTCAATGCCTTACTAGGAATTTATACCAAGGTATCACGTTGACGTCATCCTTCTCGGTGTAAATCAGCTGAGAATATGGAACATTTCCGCAGACCACCGCTTTGCTCGCGTTCATCTGTGCAAATTTAAAATCATGTTCCTGTTCAAAATAGTTGATTGCACCTTGCTAGCTGCGTCTAATCACTACGTGCATGCGAGCTTTGACTCTTCACAGCTTTGACTGTCCAAATAAATGGATGTCACTAGGTAATTTGAAGAACGCACATGTGAAAGCTCCTCTGGCAAGACTGCGGCTTGGACTTGTCAGAACCTCATATTCTGAAGCAACTCTTGCTGTAAACCATTCAGAGACACCAAAGCTACTTGATTTGCAATTCTTGAATTGTAGTTGGTAGACACCGAACCGAAGTGCTGCTTCCAGCCTATGTATGTCGTGTCCTGTCAACCGTAGTGCCACTTGATGACACGCACGGTACCAAGAGCATCTCCTTGGTTGTTAGATTGAATGTACTCCAAAATGAGGAGGAAAATCACAGAGGAATGGCGGGCGTTTGCATTCTAGCACTCAAGAAGAGTAGATAGCTTCAATCAAACCGTTTTGTTGCCAACCAGCTACGAAGCCGTTTGACTCCGGTCAGATGGCTCAGTGGTTCATGCCTACCCTCTGCGGTAGGGTTGACAACTTCGTTGACACTGTCGAGTTTGTTGGCCAGGAAAAAACACCACATTCCCTTCTTTCAGCTGGTGTGAACCCTGTTAGGATACCGTCTGATTTTCCGGTCTCATGTCTTACAAGCATGAGATGTCCTTTTGCAATTTTTTACTACCTTTCTTCGAGTTGCACTCACAAATTAGTTGAGGACAAGACACCATCTACCAAGAAAAGGGGCAAAAAAGGGGGAACACCAATCGATTTGAACCCCAGAGAAAAACGTTGTAGCAGACCATCAATGACAACACGCTATCATTGAAGTAGGACCACCATCTTGACTGTGCTCGATACTAAGAGAGAGAAAGAAAATTGGGTATCAAATGCACGAGGTTTCTAGCTGCCCGCGTCTGCATCGCACGCAAAGCAGTCATTATTGGAGTTCCTCCATCCCTCTCTCCCTTCACAGGCAACGCTGCAGAGTTCAACATGGCACATATTCATGGGAATGACAATATCGCACTCGGGTACATTTCTCGTACTAAAAATGGCTGTGGTCATGGCCCACCGAAACCAAAAAGGAAGGAAGTCTATTGAACCCATCTGTATGGCTAAAGCTAATGCATCTCCGCAGGCGAGCGGCTCACCATTGCAACGCTGAGAGATGAGTCGATCAGATGTCTACCACGGTTACATCGGCTAGGTATGTATGCAAGGGTCGACCGGTGTTTAGCAACTGTCCACAAATGATGCAAGTAATATTATAAGCAAGCACCGAATGTCACCCAAGATGAACTCGTGGGTCGAAACAGGCTGAGGAAGCCCCCGAAAAAAAAGAAGGAAAAAAAAAACAGTAGACTTCCAAGCAACAAAAAAATTCAAATCCCGTATATTCTACTTCTGCCTAGCTGAAAAGGGTACCGACGATGTATGCCATTGTCAAAAGAATGACTTGCTGGACATTGGTAAAAGAAGTGACTATGTACAAGAACCAACATTTCTATGTCGATAGTCGAAGAATAGAAGGCTGCAACAGATGTATAGAAATGGCGTGTTGTACAAGTGTTGGATTTCGTTGGAAAGGAGAAGAAAAAGAGCGACTCGTACACACAGCTGAAGAGAGTCGTTCCCCTTTCGATAATGACACTTGCGTAATCGAAGCTCGCGATTCTGATCCTTTTCCCCATTCTTCCCGCTGGCCCTAAGACATATGCAAGTGGAACCCTCTTCTTGTTATTCCATTTTTCTCTTTCCAGTGCCGGGAAATGCAGGTCTGGTTGTTCATGGCGTGTCCACCTACCGCCCCCAAAGTACACATTGAAGTGTCGCTTCATGGGCATTCATCTCTTGCCAATCGACTCCTCATATTTACTGGGGAGGAGGGAGGGGGAGCACCAGTGGGCTTAGGTCCGGGGGGCTTGCCAGTGGGCTTGGGTCCCGGGGGCTTGCCAGAGGCTTATACAGATGTCAGTAGCTGCAAGGATTTTGCGTGGCATATGTCTACTCACGCTTGGGTCCTGGGGGGAATGGAGGAAAGCTTGGCTCCTGGCGAGGAGGGAGGGGCTTGCCGGTGGGCTTAGGACCAGGGGGCTTTCCAGTGGCTATTCATGGTCCAATAATTAGCCGCAAAATACAATCTCGAGAGGATATCAATTGCTTACGCTTGGGGCCGGGAGGACCCGAAGGCTTAGGGCCCGGGGGAGGGAAGGGAGAGAAGGCTCCTGGCGAGGAGGAAGAGGCTTGCCAGTGGGCTTAGGTCCAGGTGGCTTGCCGGTGGCTATTAACAATAATCAAGATTAGTATATATCTCTAACTGCAGTCCGTCCTTGATTACATACGCTTGGGGCCAGGAGGACCGGATGGCTTGGGTCCTGGTGGGAACGGAGGAAGAGAAGGCTCCTGGCGAGGAGGGAGAGGGAAACCGCTGGGCGGGGGACCCGGGGCTGTGCATGATAATTGGTTAGTCTGATGCTATACACATAGGTTGGAATCAAGAATGCTTACGCTTTCCAGTGGCTGTAAACACAAGATAATGTTAGCCATGATTTTAGTTGCTTGCGTCTCAGATGGGCATAAACGTACGCTTAGGGCCGGGACTATCGGATAGAAATTGTCAGCATTCCACTTCACTTTATTGAACCCAATAGTGCTACATAGGAGAGCAATGAAAATAAAGATCATTAGACTTACGGGCCAGAAGGCTTGGGGCCGGGGGGGAATGGGAAAGGTGGCTGTGTATTATAAGTCAGTACTTGATAATGCTCGCACCCTATGAGGCTGCTAGTCATGCGCAAGCAACACTCAAGACAGAGTAGACAGAACAAGGACGACTTACCTCGGAGGGGAATGGAGGCTCCTGGCGGCGCTCCTTCGGGGGAGCCGGGGGAGAAGGGAATGGGGGGAATGGAGGAGCCGAAGGGAAGGGAGGGACTGGGAATGGAGGCTCGGAAGGGAAGGGAGGGAAGGGGAACGGAGGCTCAGAAGGGATCGGAGCCGGGGGTGGGGGAGCCGGCTGTGTGAATAGTTAGCAAGTTTCTTATGTGGTCATGAGCGGTGATGCTCTTCCGAAGTGCTTCATCTGCTCCGAGGTCCACTCACGTCACTGGGCGCCGGAGCCGGGGGAGCGGGCTCCTGAGCAACCGGGGCAGCAGCAACGAACGCCGCCAGGGCGAGAGTGAGAATTGTGTATCTCATCTTTTCAATTAGTGAGTGTCTTGAAAGAAAGTGAGTCCAAGCTGTGTGTGCGTTGTTGGTTGAAAAAGAAGAGGAGTAATACAAGTGTGAATATCGAGCAGGTTATATATCGATTATGAAGTTGACGATATTCAAATGCCCAATACTGTTGACATGGGTGGAACTACCAAGTTTAAAGTTTACACAGGACGATCTATATGATTTTCACTATAAACTACCGCTTAATATCCCCGATAGGCAGGCGAAGGGTTGTGGACGCGTACTCATTGCCACTATGGGTGTCACCCCAGGTGCTGTGATGCAGGGGAAATGCCGTAGCTAACTTCCAGAACCGGAGAGCTGTCATGTTTTTCATAGTCTTCCGTCATCTGGCATCAGTTGGAAGACAATTGCATTTCCAGAGTTGAAACGCAAATACATGTCCATCAGCCTCGTTATTCTGTAGCAATTGCGACGTTGTTCGATGTGCTCACATGCAAAGAGACTTGGGCGGGTAATAGAATGCGACGCTGAGGATGGAAGATCCAGCAATGAGGCGCTTTCAGGTCCCACACGTCACTCGACCCTAGTATGTCGAGCACTATAGCACCGCAGTGAGGCCAGATATAGTCGCTTTGCTGCAAAGGCGGAGGTATCTAGAGTAGCCCACCCACCCCGCTTAGCGAGGCGGACAAGGGCAGAAGCACCGACCATGATGGGAGAAAGTATCCAGACTTCCCCAGCCAAAGGACGCCTGTTGCAAGGGCAGCGAGACTACTCCCTATACCTAGTGTAAGGTCAGACGATATTAAGTTATGCCGGTATCTTGCTCGGCTCGCAGCTTTTTAGTGGAGACAGGGATGCAAGATAGAGTTGATTCAAGGTTAAAAACACTAAAGTTGAGGACTGCCCAGGGTATTGACAACTTCCAGAAACAAAGTCATGGCCGCTGCAAAGGGCGAAACAGGCAGCGAAGCGAAGACTTGGAGCGATTGACAAGCGAGTGCCAAGGTCCTTTTTTTTTTTTTTTTTTTTTGCTTATCGACAAGATGAGATGGGGTCGGTGGCCCCAGGCCAGGCTGCTTGCCAGCTCTGACGTGCTCTGGCTCTGGCCGCGAGCATTGCAGGGTGCGCCGATCGCATCTGTTGTCGCCGTCGAGGGGGGAGGCGGGCGAGTCGATCTATAAGACCGGAGCTGCTATAGGCCAAGTGTATAGTCTTTCAATCTACATCCGGACGGGCCATGAGGCAAAGGAGGAAGGAGGGCAACGGAAGAGCAAGGAGCTTGGGCCACGGTTCGCAATGCACTAGAACCACGGGCGGGGTCGGGCGCGTAGGTAGCAACGCGCCTTCCCCATTGGCAAGCGCTCGAGGCGGCCAAAGTCGCGTCCCAGGTCCAAATGGTGCAACCAGCAGCCAGAATCCTCACACACAGACTCATCATCCCACTCGACTCTGCGGCATCGCATCACCGCCAGCTATATCCAATTGCGCCCGACAATCCTCTTTGTCTCACGCCTGTCTCTCTGCACACCCCATCCCCAGCCTGTGTGCGAAGCTGTCAGATCTGTTATTTTTACCTCCGTCCGTGGGCTAGCTTGCGACGCTGTCTAGGGCAGGTACCGACCGGAGCGCAGAGGCGAGCTGGCAACGCGCGCCCGCACAACGTCGTTGCCTTCATCTAGAACCTCGACGACTCAGATCCACCTGCTATCGCCTCGCCAGTCAAAAGGGCTTCGGGATCACACGTGGGGTTTCCGACGACCAGTCCCGACCTACACTTGAAACACGGCCAATTCTGGACCATCCCACACTCTTCGTCTCATTGTCCGCCTTCCGCCCCCAAAGACGTCACCATGGCCCGAACCAGGGACGAACCGGCCGAGGACGAAGATCAAGAAATGGACGAGGAATTGGTCGCTTTGCAATTCGATGAGCCGCTGTCATGGCGCGCGGGCAAGCCAATACCCACCGGCACGCTTCTAAGTCGACTGGAGAAGCTCTCCAAGGAGCTGGTGGAGCTGGATCAGGACACTGTCGACAAGGACTCATTGACCAAGGTCGCAAAGGAGCTCGCTTCACACAATTTGCTGGCCCACAAGGAAGGCGGTGTCAAGGCATATGCTGCATCTTGCCTGGTTGACGTTTTGAAATTGTGCGCTCCGGACGCGCCCTTTACGCCATCACAACTCAAAGTAAGTTGGCATGGGTGTTACTGTCACGATGAATGCCTCTTGTCTGATTCGTTCTTTCTAGGAAATATTTGGTCTATTTGTAAAGACCATTCTACCAAGCTTATGGGACCCGACACACACCTACAATACACAGCACAAATATGTCCTTACTTCACTCGCCGAGGTCAAGAGCATCCTGCTCATTAATGAGCTTTCCAACGCTGAAGATTTACTCTTGCACCTGTTTTCATCCTTCTTCGATGGCATATCTGGCTCTTCCAAGTCCAATTCCGGGGAGCAAGTTGCCAAAGACGTTGAATTCCACATGACGGATATCCTGGTCACTCTGCTCGAAGAAGGCCCTACCCTGCCACCTTCTGTATTGGATGTCATTATGGCCCAATTCCTTCGTGCCGCACCTCCTGGAGGCTCCCGGGCCCGCCCCGATGCCAACGGCAATCAAACCACCCTGTTGCCCAAGGAAGAGCCTGAGGCGTATGTGATGGCCAAGACAGTCTGTAACCATTGCCCGGAGAAAATGGCACGATATGTGAGCCAGTACTTCAGTGACGTGATCATGGATATTTCTGGCAAGAGTGTACATGCAAACGGCCAGCGAGATGACGACTCGGACAATGACGAAGCTACAGCGGGACCTTCCGAATCAGATTTCAAAGAATTGAGGAAAGCACATCAACTGCTTCGCGAGTTGTGGCGAGCTGCGCCAACAGTATTGCAGAATGTTGTGCCGCAAGTGGACGCGGAGCTCTCCGCTGATAATGTTCAATTACGACTGCTTGCTACCGAGACTCTAGGAGATATGATCTCCGGTATTGGCGCCGCAGGACCACCCCCACCCCCGGTACTCGATCCAGCTGCCTATCCTCCTGTCAAGATTGGCGACGATACTCAAGATCAAACAGACTTTGACAGCATACTGACTACACCCCTCTCGCCACTCTCTTTTGCACAAACCCATACTCAAGTCTTTCACAACTTTGTCAGCAGAAGGAATGACAAGTCCCCTCTAATTCGTGCAGCATGGACGACCGCGGCTGGTTACATTGTCTCTACATCAGCAGGTGGCATTGGACTGAGTCGCGAAGACGAACAGACTTTCGTTGATGGCCTCAAGGATAGACTGAACGATGCCGACGAAAAAGTTAGACTTGCTGCCGTTAAAGCCATTGAAGTTTTCCGCTTCCGCGATATTGTCACAAAGCTGGCTTTAGATGGCGGTGTTGATAGGAATGGCACAATTCTTGCCAACTTGTCTGATCGCTGTCGCGATCGTCGTGCGCCTATCCGGGTTGCGGCCATGGCTCTCTTGGCCAAGCTGTGGGCTGTCGCCAGCGGTGAGCTGATGGCTGGAAATGATGCTGTCACCTCTGCATTGGGCGCTATCCCCACCCACATTTTCAGCACATTCTACGCCAATGACCTTGAGCTAAACATACTACTGGAGAGAGTGACGTTCGAATGTTTGGTCCCATTGTCCTATCCCCCCCCAAAGCCAAAGCAGTCAGGCAACTCTCAGTCCCAAGCCAATGGCGATGGATCTTATGATCCAGACCGAATACGGGCTGAGCGCATCCTACTACTTGTGAAAAGCCTCGACGAGAAATCGACAAGGGCATTTTTCGCTGTACAGCAGCAACAACCACAATTTGCCAAGCTCCTCCAAGGGTTTGTCAAGCAGTGTGAAGCTTTCAACGGTGGTCTACCAGAGACCAATGGACCCGTTGTCAAACAGAATCTGAAGAAGATCATCCAGTATTTGGTTCCATACTTTCCAGATGCGGTCAAGGTGGAAGCCGACCTGTACAACTTCGCGACTCTTAACGATCGGAGGTGTTATGCATTGATTCGGTTCATTACCAGTCATGAAAGCGATTTCAAGACGATGCATCGTGGCTTGAAAGAATTCAACAAGCGCATCCAAGGAACGAACAAGCCTCATATTCTCGACACCATGCTTCCACTACTCTATCGAGCTGCTTACATCATCATCAACAAGAGCCATCTACCAACATTCATTGACTGCTCGAAGAATGACAAGGATGGCTTTGGTGCAGCAGCGCAGCAGATTACTTCCGAAGCCTCCAAGTCGAGTGGTGCTCTCTTCAAGGCACATATTGGTCAGCTGTGCAAGGATCTCATTGAGGCAGCCCCGACGGCTTCAAAAGAGAATGAGCCGGGGACGGTGGAGACCCTCAAGGCCTGCTCGTCGTATTCTTTAAAGTACCCAGAAGAGCTACCTCAGGACAAAAAGTTTGTCCAGGCGCTTATCAACTATGCACTTCATGGCACGCCGGCAAAAGCAGCAAAGTACGCAGTCAATATTTTGATGGCACGCAAGGACGACAAGAGCTTGGTATCTGCAACGGAGCTTCTCCAGAAGGTTACAAAGAACTGGGGCTATGGCTCGCCGCACTTCTTGAGTAAAATTGCTGGTGTCGCCCAGCTTGAGCTTTTGGCCTCCACTGTCACTGCTGATGCCAATGATAAAATCATTGATATGGCACTGAAAGAGGTATTGCAAAAAGTACGCACCGAAGCCAAGGTCAGCGATTCCGAGTGGGTAGAAGACGCAGAACTCGAAGAAGAATGCTTGATCAAGTGCTGGTCCCTGAAGCTTATTGTCAATCGACTTCGTGGTACTAAGGATCCCGAAGAAGTCAAGGATGTAACACCTACGGTGTTCAAGCTCTTGCGAACCTTGATCAAGGACCAAGGTGAACTCTGCAAGACGCAGGACACACCCAAACACCACAAGTCTCGCCTTCGACTGTTGGCAGGTCAGCTTCTGCTAAAGCTGTGCACAGAAAAACGCTTCGAAGAATTGTTCTCGCATTCGGACTTTAACAGACTAGCACTCCTTACGCAAGATTCTTGCTCGCGGGTTCGCCGTGGCTTCATCGAGAAGCTCCAGAAATACCTAGTCAACAGAAGGTTGCCCGCGAGATTCTACACCATCATCTTCCTGACTGCATTTGAGCCTGACAAAGACTTCAAGCAACAGACAGAGACGTGGATCCGTTCGCGGGCTCGCTATTTCCGTGAAAATAGCAAGGACAACGTCAATGTCATGGAAGCCATCTTTGGACGCCTGGTGTCACTTCTGGCACATCATCCCGACTTCTCCCCAGAAGCCGATGACCTGCTGGATACGGCTCGGTACATTATCTACTATATCAGCAATGTGGCCACGGAACAGAACTTTGCTTTGATATTCAAGTATGCCGAACGGGTGAAGCAAACACGAGACGGCATTGCACCTGAAAAGAGTGAGAATCTATATGTACTCTGTGACCTAGCCTTGGCTATCTTGAGGAAGTGGCAAGAGCGCAAAGGATGGAGCTTCCAAGCTTACTCTGGCAAGACTGGTCTTCCTAAAGGCTTGTATACTGCTCTGCCAAGTCACGATGCTGCGCAGCAAATAGCAGAAAAACAATTTCTTCCAGAGGATGTTGAAGAGAGACTCGACGATCTATTGAAAACAATGGATAAGAAGAAGGTGAGAATATTGCAGAAATCTAATCCGATCCATGCTTCCTGGACGCGTATTGACATTTTGTTCCCACAGAAGCGCAGAAGCACCGATGATCGTGGCGATGGACACCCAGCTCAGAAACGGGCGAGGACGGCCCAGCCAAGGACATCTGCGGCAAAGCCTGATCGTCCTGCCGGCAAAAGGCCAGCTGTGAAGACGAAATCAGCAAAGTCCCGGAAGCCAGCGAGATCTTCTCCGGCGCCTGAATCAGCCAATCGACGGCGGAGTGGAAGATCTAGGAAAGACTCTTCTTACCTCGAGCGGGATTCGTCGGACGACGATGAGGACATGCTTGAAGGCGTGGCCAAGTGGGAGTATTATGACAATGACGGCAACAAGGTCCAAAATGACGAGGATGAAGGCGAAGATGAGAGTGACGGCCAATCTGAGCTATCTGAAGTTGAGGAAGAAGCGGAGCCGATGGAGGATGATAAAGCTGAACCTGAGCCGGAAGCTCAAGCGGACAGTTCCCCAGATGAGGAGGAGCCCGCAGCCGATGAGGAGATTGAGCCTGCAGAAGAGGAGCCAGTAGCGGAGGAAGAAACACTGCCCATACGTTCAAGTGGCCGTCGCGGAAGAACTGCTGCCGCTGCATCTTCCGCAAAGACAAAGCCAGCGCCTTCACCTCCAGCCAAGACAGCTACAGCTAAATCCAGTGGGTCAAGGAGCAAGGCCGCTGCTGCAAAATCAACGACGCCCCCAGCCACATCCACTCGATCGACTCGATCGAGGCGAGGAGCCTAGGATCGTTAGGCGTTGAGTAAGGGCACTTGATCTGGATTGGTGGCAAGGCAGATGTTATCTGGAACAAGCAGTGATGGTTCTGGAGAGCATTTGAATAAACAGGCAAAATGGTCTTGACGGAATTTCCGGCATGAGGTTGTTAATGGGTATACCAAGTTGTCGGGGAAAGCAATGTTTACAGGTCTGCTCTCTATAGCCTCCAGAACAGAATGGGATAGGTAGCATACTTTGTGTTGGATTGAAAGGGTATCATGTTACCATATGAAGCTGTTGACAGCTATCGTATTCCCCCCATTAATGATCAATGTCATTTGCCGTGAGTGAACCACGTTCAAATCCCTGTCACTCGGTCACCCAAGCAATTCATCTTGGACCACTCTCTGGCGATGAAAGAGAATACAGTAAGTGCACAGGGAAAAGAAGTCAGCCTGCACAAGCTTATTGTCGTTGTACGGGAATACAGTATCCAATGAATTATAAAAGGACAATATTCCAAAAACCAGTGGCCCGTGAAACAAAAAGCAGTAAGAAATACAAATGTGCACGAATACCGGATATCTTCCTAGTTCCTTTTGTCTGGAAACACCTAAACGCCTAGCACGCCGGTCCCTAAAGGAATGCACTCCCACTTCTCCCTCATCTTCTCTGACCCTGCTTTGCCTCGGCCTCTCTACGCTTCCACTTTGATCTAATATCCGGCGCTGCTTCGATCAGTTCTTCCTTGGTGACACGGCCCTCGATCGACTCGAGGACACTATTAACAACGCTGACGTGATTACCATTGTGCTTGTCATCGCGGAATCTATAGAAGCGCCATCGCCGCTGCTCATCCATGTAGGCCTCGACAATGCGCTCATCGAGAGGTTCATTAAGGGCTTTGAGCTCCTCCCACTCGTCCTCGGTCATGTGGAGCTCGCCAAATGGTCTGTAGTCGTCCTTACCGCCGTGGAACACCAGGAGCTCGACGCGTGGAACACCATCGTAGTCAATGTAAGGCTCAGTTACGCCCTCGGCCGTATCTTGCTCGTCGGGCTGGACCATGTTGAAGTGGAACTTCCAGCGAAAGTCGACCGTGTTCTCCTCGGCAGGCTTCCACTTGAGGATGTGGGGGTCGGTACCGTACTTGTACTCGGTGCTCAGGCAGGTGAAGATGAGGCCGTCGTTGCCGTGGTGCAGGTTGGGGATGATTTGGCGGAACATCATTTCGGTACCGTAGGCAAGCTGGTGCTCCTTCATGCCGAGAATAAAGGGCTGGTAGGCCTTTTCTTGAGGGTACTTTTCGAAAAGCTTCTTGTATGGCTTGAAAACCTCATTATGGAAATAGCCAAAGCGCTTCTGTAGGCCTCGACTCATAAGTGACTGGCCGTGGAGGACAAGGCAATCAAAGACGAGATAGACGGGCTCGCGGGTGCCATCGGGCATGGTGTCGACGACGAGCTCGCCATCGAGAATGGTGTCGCGGTGAAAGGTCCCTTCGCCCTGGACCGTGGGAAAGTGTGCATTCTTCACCCACCAGTAGTCGTTCTTTCGGTCGATGAGGTAATGTAACTCCTGGCCGTTGCCATCGTCGGTCAGATAGAGCAGGTAGCGGATGCCGTCGGACTTTTCGCAGACGTAGTAGCTGTAGAGAGAAGAGAAGCTCGAATTAGCCTTAAGAACTGGTCACAAAGCCAGTAGACATCATGTCGGTGCTCTTGAATGATTCGCGCCGGCGGGGTGGATAGCAGCGGAACAAAAGACAAAGTAAGGCGTCAAAACAACATACTCATCTCTGCGAAGCTCCTCTAGATGCCGGCGAGCAAAGGACACGGGCTGGGCGCCGGGAAAGTTGGTGCTCTCGCGGTTGAGCAGGCGTGCAACCTCGCGCTGCATATTGTGAAGGAGATCGCCCTCGGCCCTGATGCCGGGGCGATCCATGGCCTGAATACGGGCGGGCTCCTCATCCATGGCGACCGACGGATGGACGTGGCTTGGAAGAGGTGCGCGCGCAGGTTGTCGCAAAAGAGACAAGACGGGAGAGACGAGACAGTGCTACTGCTGCTTGCTGCCAATTGAATGAATGGGATAAAAAGCTGTCCCACTATTCGTCGATTGGGGGGTGCCTTTGGCGCGTCTCTTTAGCGAGTCGCACTGGCATTTGGCGTTGGAACTTTGGGCTTATCAGCTTATCGTTGAGCTTGTGCCGCTGTCACACCCATCCAGTGGGTCCTCCTACTGGGAACCATTAGGTAGTAGGTATTACATTAGGGAGGGACGTCAAGTAAAACGAGACGTCCTCTGCTTTGAAGTTCGAACTTACGTCATTTACGCCATGTACAAGACCACGATCCTTCAATTTACATATGTACTTAGTTGACTACATAGCCACCAAGTAATAGAAGGAAGAAATTATTAGTGTATCTATTATATATTGCCCGTCGTATAAAATTGAAAAGGCCAATTTGCATATTGTGTGATAGACCTCTCCAACGTTGCCCAAGGCTAAATCTATGTACCTAGCTAGTGACCGCCAAGCACATCTGCCTCTGTATACTCTGTATACTGTGTCTGAAGGATGCTGCAGTGGTTGACAAGCCAGCCCTTGTCTCTCGCAAGTGTGTACCGTGTGTTGTGCTGTAATGAAATCTAGTTTCTTTACCATAGACAGTGAATGTGTTACTTGAGGAGCCATGTACCTATCTAGTAGATAAACTCAAATCTTAGGAGGACACAGGTGACTGCAGTGGCTGATGTTTATCCCCAACGGTCTTCTATACCCTTTCCTAGTAGAATTGAAGCCCATGAGTCGGATGAATCGACAGGAAGCACCAAAAGAGCCATATTTATTTTCGGAAGTCTCATGACGACAAACTTTTTCACTATATCCAATGGGACGTGGAGTGAACAAGCCCGGCACCACCTGGGGGATCTGGGATGATATTGGCCATTTTTATGAACACGCTGTTGGCCAAGATCTTTCACAGATATTATTGGGCAAGAAAATATATATCCCGGCCAGCCTCACATGCAGATAAGCAACAACAGATATGAAGCAAGCGTATTCCAAACACACAATGAGGTAGAAATTTTAGACCAAGGTAGCGGTCCACGCGGGATTCAATAAACGACTCGATCCCGCTAATCCCGGGCACCCGGACGGCAGGAAACGGATCCACTAACAATGTTGATTTTGACTGAAGTCCGACTCACACAAGACTCGCATCGCGCTGTTCGGCACAAGCAGATCGCGCACGAAGCTGAAGCTGGTTGTTTGCTGTGTCATCGTCGATCGTCTTCAAGACTGGGATATCGGGCACAATGTGCACTGCGGCAATTATGATGCCTGTTATAGTCTTTCTCTTTTCTCTTGGTGTTTGCCCCCCTCAAGCACTGCGGAAATAATGCTCCGACTAGTCTGGCTTCTACTTCATAGGACCATGATCTAATGACATTGAGGCTCTGACTTGTAAAGATTTATAAGATACTGAGGAAGGGTATGGAACAACTCTCAAAACAGTCAAATACTGTCTAGAAAAGAAGCATTCATCTGTGTTTGTTGGTGTGTAATCCGGGATGCCAGCCCTATGGCAAATGTCATGTGCTGGCACAAAAGAAGCTTTTCGGATCCGTCGGGTTGCATGATAGAAGTTAAAGTGGATCTCGCCCGTCAACTCCGGGCATCATATCCCAGTCTCGGGATCTGTATACACAAGTACATGGTATATAGTCGATGGCCAAGAGACGTGTGTTTTCAAGAACCATGGTGTCGTCTGGACTCACTTTCTGCCAATATTCCTCACTTATACCGGAGATTTACTCTTATATATCTCATGGCAAAGACCGTCTCTCAGCTTGATCATTTCCGCCGTTGGCTGGCGTTGAAACAATACCATTTCGAAGTCACGTTTGCCATCAACGTCTACACCAGGGGAGAGAAGATATTCTTTTGGTCGGTATTTGCTCTCATGGTCGGCATTTTCTCTGCCTGGTTTATTCTTCTCGTGCCTCGGAGCATCGCCTTGACCATCAGCCGCACGTTCTTGTATATTGTTGGCGAACCCGGAGAGGCCCTTACGTCGGCCAACGCGCCCAAGGAAATTATGTCGGTACCCGAAGCAGCTGTGCGAAGTTCTGTTGTCTTTGCCGATATTTGAAAAGCACCATTGAAACATGGGACTTTCTCGATATGAATCAACCTTCTTTCTTCAATTATACACCAACCTCCTACACTCTAGCAAATATACCAACATGTGTTTGGTGTGAGATCAATCAGCCGCTCACTGCAAAACGCCACGCCCAAGTTTGGATGCGACACTTATCCACTCTGAACTTCGAGAAGTTCCTGACTGGCTGGAAACCTCATAAACCACCCATTGCTGCTTGATTGTCTCAGAAAGTTCAATCACAATCCAAGCAAGGCCGGCCATCTTGCTAAGCGCTATACAAATCACGAAGGAGAGATCAAGAGAGAAAATGCAACAACATTCTCAGTAATTTTTGTCGACGGAAGCTTTTGCGGCGAAACTAGAGGGTTGCTAGAGTGGTTTGGGCGGGAGTTTGGTGTCCCCGCTCAGCAGACTCTTTGGATGGTGGCACTTACTAAGACCAATACAACAAAATCTGGCCAAGCTCTGTTCCGAGTATTAGGAGTCTGGAGCTGTCCTCATACCCCAGGGCCTACTCGAGTCACCACAGCTATGGTCCGTCGGCGTATTGACTGCTATTAGTACAAATGCGTGAGACTTGGGCAATCCAAAGAAGCATGGATATGACAGTGGGCTTTCCAAAAAGCTCGCAGCCACGAGCTACAGAGTTTGTCTCGAATAGGACGACCCGATAAGGGGAGACAAGTTACATACGCCTCTGTTCCATGGAGTGATGTCACTTAAGGCTCTATTTGTCTTACAAGCATCCGTATGAGACGTGATTGATGAATCCACACAAGTAATTGCAAGCCATAATTTGTGCCTTTTTGTATTACTTGCCCAATTATACTTGACCTACACAACACTGGTAATATGACTGGCTTCCATCGACCACCCCATCTTTGATGGCAATTGAGAAGAATATGCCTGGCTCGACCTTACGAGTCACCTTGAGTCAAGAAGCTCTGGTGTCATTCAAGAGGTTCAGTCTTCACCACATGGAGCGTCGATTCTGGTGAAAAGATCTGGCTGGACTATGAGTCACTATATCAACCGATGCATCTAGTGATTTGATTTATAATTTGGGTGGCTCACATGGGAATGTGATTTCGGTATCGGCAAATGCTCCCGTGAAAATGTCCCGCTTGCTCCACGCATTTCCGATAGAGGGGAAACTTAAAACTCAGGATGGCAAAACGGAAGGGGAAAACAGGACCATCGTCGGCTAAACCTCTGCTTCTTACACACGTTATCGAAAGAGAGAAAAGAAAATGAAGAACTCTCTGATGCAGTGGTGCCAAAGTCTGTCAAGTAGAGTGACCTGGTCGTGCGGAAACCGTAGACAGCAGTACTTACATCCCGCCAGCAGTAAGTAATATGGGACTATGTATAGCCTCATGCACCCGCCCACCCGCGGGTGATCTGCAGGACATGCTAACTGTATATGGTGCGAGGTCCCCTGTCGCTCTTGTCTTGCTGCTGCGCGAGTGGCCGTTGCGAGTAGGAGACCAACCTAATGCTAATTGGATGCGCTATCCATATTGGGTTGCAGGTCCCCTGTTTTTCCAACAGCTTTCTCGATAACTCGCACGAAAGCATCGAGGCCAAGAATTAAAAAATACCTGTGTAACAACTAATTATCCGATATGACGCTGAAGACTCAATAGAATGCTTATCAATCAATACAAGCTTTGCAGCATCACGACAGTTCTGAATATGCTCAAGATGGTGAGTCCCGGCGACACTGGACAAGACTGGCTGAGCCATTCCCCCCAAGTGGCCAGAGTGCTTATATGATCATATCTGCAAGTGACTCAGGTACGTATTGAAGAGTCAAATCGGCTATAAGTTACGAGCTATTCATCGAATACAAGAAGCCGCTCTAGACTTTACAAATTCTCACAGAAAGTAGGATTGTTACGAAACGACAGCTCCCACCAGTCCATGAGTGTCAACAACTACTACCCATCACCGCCCGTCATCTCCAACCTGACCGAAAATGCGTCCCGAGACCAACGAAAAGTATATCCAAGCACCGTCTGGCTTGAGAGAATGGATCTTTGTCTTTGTACTCTGCGCGACGCAGCTCTTCACCCAAGGCGCCCTCGGCTATGTCCTCATCCCACTGAGCATAGTCAGTGAGACGTTCCACCAGACTGGCCACGAACAAGCTGCGCAGATGAACTGGCATGTGGCAGGCTACAGTCTCACGATCGGCTCCTTTATCCTCGTCGCGGGTCGCTTGGGCGACATGTACGGCTCGAAGAATATCTTTGTGCTGGGCTGGATCTGGTTCGCCGTGTGGACCGCCGTTGGCGGATGTAGCGCGTTGACGGGCTCTGCCATATTCTTTGATGTGTGTAGAGCACTCCAAGGCGTCGGCCCGGCACTGTTGCTGCCGAACGCTCTGGCCATTGCAGGCCGCACATACCCACCCGGAACCAAGAAGAATATTGTCTTCTCGCTGATTGCCATGTGCGCACCTCTGGGTTGTTCCCTTGGCGGGCTCATGGGCTCAGCTTTGGCACAATATGCCTTGGTGGCCTTGGTCCATGTGGATAGGGGGTATCGGATCTCTCATCATCGCCTCCATCGCCTACTGGGTGATACCACCACATTGCACCAACCCCCCACAGAACCAAAAGCTTCGATTTGACTGGGTAGGGTCCGTATCTGGCGTCGGCGGGCTCATGCTGCTGAACATCTCCTGGAATCAGGCGCCCATAGATGACTGGTCAACGCCCTATGTCTATATTCTCCTCATACTTGGATTTCTGTTTCTTGGCGTATTTGTTTGGTACGAGAAGAGAGTCTCGCAGCCTATTGTCGACATCTCAATCTTCAACCGCCAAGTTGCGGGAGTTCTCCTGACCACTGGGTTGGGATGGAGTAGCTTTGGCATATGGTTCTATTACATGTTTCAATTTTTGCAGCAAATTCGTGGTGTCTCAAGTCTTGATTCCGCCATTCAGTTTATCCCTGGAGTTCTCTCCGGAATGATTGCCCCAATCTTCACTGCGTGGGCACTGCCAAGAGTGCCCACGTCGGGCCTCATGGTGCTGTCATCTTTTGCCTTTTTTGCAGGATCTCTCTTGCTCACGCTAGCCCCGCCAGAACAGAGTTATTGGTATAATACTTTCTGGTCATTCGTCATCATGCCATGGGGGTATGTACTGGCCACCATCCTCTCTTGCTTATTTTCGAGTTACATTGCTGACAGTCTTGCTAGAATGGACGTCTCATTCCCTGCATCGACCGTTTTCATTAGCGACTCTGTCTCTGTAGAACACCAAGGAATCTCGGCGTCACTCGTGAACACGGTGATCAACTACTCAATCGCTCTGGGTCTGGGTATTGGCGGGACAGTCGAGGTTGAACTTCCCAAAGGAACGACCATTCTTGAAGGTTACAGAGCCGCGCAATACACCTCTGTGGGTTTGGCTGCGCTTGGATTGGTCATTTCCATCCTACTGGCAGTCTTCAACAACCAGACAAATGCAGAGGACGAGCCCAGCCAAGAAAAGGTCAGAGGTTCGGACACAACCCTGGGTCCAGAGGGGGTATGAATTTTAAGTATGTAGACTTTGAAATAATGAAGATAAACGTGATGCAAATATGGGGTCTAGAAGAATGACTTGTCCCAGTTTTTGTTGATAGACTGTTTCATCCTGTATGTCGAGTTCTGACGCAAGAAACTGAATGCGAGAGTGGAAAAACTGCTGCTGGTTTAAGGTTGGGCTTTCCAGAGCGCCAATCGTCAGGAGCCAAATATGTACCAACGGGCTCAGATCAGGATTATTCTCAATGGCTTTGATTGAATTGATCAAGACATTGATCTGGTATGTCGTTCGGACCGGCACGACCCCAGACCTCCGTCGCATGTCGGCCATGTAGAGTAGTGCGCCAGCCCGTAGGCCAGTAAAGGCGCCCGAGTAGCCATTAGTATCTTCACCACCGTCGCACTCTAGCAATCTAGTCCGTAGGAGTCTAACTATCACTGGGTATGATAGGGCATCCATTTTCAAGGGATCCTCTAGCGCGGAGGCTCCATGCTCGATGTATAACTTTTCCAACTGTTCATTCAGGTCCTGTAGCGCTTGGAAAGTATGGGTCCATGGCAAGCGGTTTTGTGGTTCCAGAGAGTCAATGAGTCGCTTTAGTGGCCACTGAAGAGTTGTTTTTGATACATTTGGTAGAAGACCCGCTGATGGTGTTGAAAGGTATGACGGTAGGCCGAACGCATACGACCCTATAATATCGGACCTGCGACATTATTCAGTTGCCGAGGACAGAAAGCTACTATATCAGCGCTGCGAGAAGCTTACCATTGGAACAAGCGATAAAAGGTGGAATCCTCTTGTGCGAATTTGCAATTAGAAGACGAAATGATGGTGTGGATGGCAGACATGTGCATCTTCCAAGTCTCGACGTCATCGTGGAGATGGGCCCAGCACACAAACATGAGGATAGCCCAGAGATAGTCTTGAGTGGCGGGCTTTTGTTTCTGTTCGAGGCTTAGACGCTCTCTGACCAACGCCAGTGCCTCGGTGTGATGGCTGACGGCTATGCGCAATACTTTTTCTTCCGAGCCTCGTTGCCAGTGGAGTAGCTGCGTGGAAAAGCATGCAATCATTTGGTGGAAAGCAGCAGGGTCTCTAATGCAGAGGGGATACCACATCCTCTTGTAATTCTGGAAGCGAGTTGGGATATGATTAGAGAACACTACCGTGTTGTTGTCAGTATGGCATATATATATATACAGCCCAGGAAGCTGGTGGACAGGGGAAGGGAGACTCACTATGATGCAATACCCAGTTTGAGTCGCTGTCAATCGTTACGGATGAAAATGATGGCGGGAGTAGCGCTGGAGAAGGAGCATGCTCATCAGCATGCTCACAAGTGATTCCGAGCACGACGTCGGTCTTGGGGGATGCTGGATAGTGCTGTTGACATTTCCGTCTAGAATAACCAATATCGCGCATGATGTGTCGACGCATCAATGTCCTTTGATCCGGAGTCGGCCGGCGATCGGCAGGCGACGTATTCACAAACGCCCATTTTTCCGGATTCGACCCGGTAGGAGCAGCACCGCCTTTCGGCCTCATGATGCTCCACTTTGACACGGGACAGATCCTCGATCATACAGTCAGGGATTCTTACGGCCAAAGAGTTGCGTGATGGGCGGAGGAGCAGTTGGGCTTGTTGGTCGTACGCAGGGCCCCCCACTAGTAGTGCAGATGAGATGAGCCATGCATCTACGGCAGACAGGCTAGTCACTACTTGGCCAGGTCGTGTTCCCTCCTTGCAGGTAAGGAAGGTTATTAGGTGCCGGTGTTTTCGTCATGTCGAGTGGCGCCTTTGTCGCGGGCGGAGCTACGGAAAAAGATGTGGCCGGACGTAGGCACGGAAGAAATCCACGTGCGTTTTGTCTCACAATCATACTCTATAGTAATCCAGGTATACGGCCACATTTCTTGGCGTGGCGTAGCTAACCAATTATACGGCTATATTTAAGTAAAATCGGGCCCGATCGTTTTGCTTTTTTTAATTTTAAACGTTTCTTATATTATTAAAATAGCTTTAAATTTAAATATATCGAATATAGCGATAAAGCCCGTTTTTAATTATAGATCGATATTAAATTTATAGCTTTTAAAGCTAATTTAAAGCTTTCGCGGCCTTATAAACGCGGATTTTTCTAATTTATTTTTATGCTACAATTAAATTTAAAGCGTACAATCGTATTTATTATTATTTTGCGTTATTAATATTTAGCAAATTCCGGTTTATATTTATTAATAATTAGATTTTTACGGTCGTTTTCGGTTATTTCCGGTAGCTTTTAACGCTATATTACGAATTTATATCGAATTATATATTTTATATTTATTTTAAAAAATATTTATTTTTATTTTTACGAAAATAGTTATTTAAAATTTTTAAATTTTATATTTTATTTTTTATTTTTTTTTTATAAAGCGCTTTTTATATATTTTTTACGTTTTTTTATAATATACGCTTTTTATTTATTATTTTTTCCCGTAATAGCGAATTTTATTTTTTTTATTTATAAGCCCTTTTTAAAATACGCTTTTTATTTATTTCCCTAAATTAATAATAACGTTTAACTTATAATTGCGAGGTTTAAACTATATATTTAATTTTTAAAATATATAAAAAAAAGGCTATTTGCGTTTATTATTATTTTTTTTTTATATAAAATAAAATAAAAAACTTTAAATTGCTATTTAGTATTATTTTTTACGTTTTATTATATTATAAAAAGGTTGTATAAAGGCTATATTTAAAAAAAATTAGTTTTTTTTATTTAGGTATAAATTTAGTTTATAAGCGCTATAAAATTAAAAAAAATACCCGGAGTTTTTTAATTTTTATTTTCGAGCGAATTTTATAATATTTTATATATTATACGGGTCCGATTAATTTTTATTAGCTAAATATTAAATCGAAAAATAATTAAAAACGCTTTCCGCTATATATTATATAAAAATTATATTTATAAATATAGGATCTTAAAAAGTATTATTAAATAATAAATATATATAAAATTATATAAATATATTTCGGTAATTATTATTATTTAAAATATTTTTTCGTTCCCGATAAATTTTTTCCGAGCGATATAATAGCCTTTTAAGCGGTATTTTTATAGGTTAGCTTTACCGGGCCTATTATTAATTTAATAAAAAATAAATTTACGTTTAAATAGCTTATATACCTTTTATTTAATACCGTTTTAATTAAAAGCGAAAAATTAATAATCGAAGCCAAATATTATAAGTAATTTTAGTCTAATATTAATAAATATATTTAAATATAAAATATAATTATAGATTTTAAAAATAATAACGCTAATTAAATTAAGGTTAATAATGCTAAATTTAATTTTTCGGCGGTTTTTAAGCTTAAAAAGCTATTTTTTATAATAAAAATAAAGGAAAAAGTTTAATATCCTTTAGGTTAAAGCAATATTAGGTTAAAGCGTTAGCGTAATAAATAAAAAAATATTAAAGCTAAAATAAATAAAATAAAAAAATATAATTTTAGCGTAAAATAATAGGTTTTAAATAAAGCCGAGCGTTATATTAAATAATAATCCGCTAATAAAAGCGCTTTTACGGTTTTTTTTACGCTAATAAAAATAATTATACTATTACGAAAATATATTAAATTTATTAAAAATAAATTAATATTAACGCCTAAAATTATACCGTTTAGCTTTCGTAAAACCCGGAAGCGCGCGGCGGCGGCGGCGACGAAAAATAACGATAATAATAATATAAATGCTTTTATATTTATTAAAAGCCTTAAACGCTCGAAAAAGCTAGTTTAATAATTTATTTTATATAATTAAAAAATATTATTTAGTTTAATTTTATAAATTTATTTTAATAATTAAATTCCCGCTATTTCCGCGTATTTTTAGGCTTTTTTGCTATTTATAATAACGTATTATATAATTAGTTTTAAATATTTTATATATATAATTATATTTAAATCCGCTAATAATATTATTATTATTTATATAGGTTTTTCCGTATTATATTTAGCCTT